TATATATGTATATAAACAAAAAAAAAACAAAAAACAAATGATTGTTTTTTTATTTAGTTTTAGCACAGTTTTGAATTAATATTCTTGTAATTGAATTTAGTATGATACTTTAACAGTTGTATTTTTTAAATGTAGACAAAGAACCCCCTGTGATAGAAGACTGCCCTATGGATATAAATCTTAATACAAGTGCGAGCGTAAACTACACTGATGTTACCTGGACTGAACCTACAGCGATGGACAATTCGGGATCGACACCAACCTTAACCTCAACGCATTCAGTCGGTAGCAATTTTTACATCGGTGAAACAATCGTAACTTACACAGCTGTAGACGGATTTGACAATACTGCCACTTGTAACTTCACAATTAGTGTACAAGGTAAAATATAACTGCCACAATACTGTTTAATTTCAATAGCAAATTATTTCATTTATTTCATTCGTTTCATTTATTTCATTTGCCTTATTCGTTTAATTTGTTTTATCAATTCCATTCATTTCATTTATTCCATTCATTTCATTCACTTTATTCATTCCATTCGTTTCATTCATTTTATTATTTATTTATAGCGCCAGCGGGAGAAGGGGGGAATTTTCCACAGATAATGTTTCCCCCATCCCCCCCGCCATTTTCCTTTTCCCTCCCATTTTCCCTCCCCCACCCCAAAAAAGAATAAACCACAATTTGTAGGGAAGAAAGAAAATGATATATTTTCTACATATTAACTGTAGATTATCTATCAATAAAATTGATTAAATAAGCCTCTGAAACCTCTTAATTGTCATATTTCATTCAAATTTTGAGCAACACCTGACCACGCCCACTTTGGGCAACCCCCAGCATATTTTTCCCCCCCCCTAAAATTTTACATTGCGACTCATTGTCCCCCAACCCCCCAGATTTCAGACTTTGGCGCTGCCACTGTTTCATTCATTTCATTCATTTCATTCATTTCATTCATTTCATTCATTTCATTCATTTCATTCATTTCATATTCATCTTATCCATTTCATTCCTTTATTCATTTCATTCTTTTCATTCATCTTAATAATTTCATTTATATGATTCACTTCATTCATTTCGTTCTTTTTATTCATTTTATTATTCACATTTATTTTATTCATTTCATTCCATTCTTGCCTGCAAGTAACCATAACACCATAACCATAATGTGAAACTAATGCTTTATACCTACAATTGTAAATCGATATTATGATTTACAATGCATATGCGAGAAGAATATTCATCTGATTCATTTAATTTATCTCATTCCTTTATTTATCTCATATATTTTATTCCTCTGATTCTTTTCATTTACCTCATACGTCTCATTCACTTATTTTATAAATCTTTATTGTATTTACTTAATTTATTGAAATAGAATTGATTGTCGATTACTTTACTGATTATTGGAGCAACTGATCAGAAGATTGACTTGTTATGAATTTCATTCACAGATATTGAACCACCAACATTTGACTGCCAGGAAAGTTTCAATGTAAACACAACCATGAATTCCAATTCCACAAACGTCACATGGAGTTATCCTACATATATGGATAATTCATATAGAGATGTTAGTGTTATGGAAAGTCACCCTATACCAACCGTCTTGGTAATCGGAATCCATGAAATTACATACACCTTTACGGACATATACAATAACACAGACTCGTGCTCCTTCAACATAACTGTAAATGGTGAGTAATAGCATAGAGAGAATAGAAGTTCTATTTTCTCTATGGTAATAGTTATGTATAGTCATGTACACACCATCCACATACACATTGTATTAATACTGTAATATGATATCCTAAAGTATAAAACATGTTTTAATATAAGGTAAGTATAAAGCGTTCATTTAGTAGCCTATAGTGTAAGTGTAAATTAGATATACTGATATTAATATTATTGATTAAGATAATAGTATTAGTTTAGCATGCAAAACATTGCATTGTTTCCTTCCCTTATACTAATGATTGCCTACGTACGATACGATTACTGACGATGGTAGAAGCACGGCCGAAACATGTCTCGTTGGGGCTGTTAAGGCTACAATTACACAGAATTCAATATAGACTTTGACTATTACTATTACGATCTGTTGTGTTGTTTTTGAAAATTATTATTATTAATAATAATAATAATAATAATAATATGAACATAAAGCACAGTTTTTTATTAGCATAAACATTGCTTTATTCTTATTAACATAGATTTTGAAGATCCTGAAGTTACATTTTGCCCCGATAATGTGCACAACAACACTGAGCCTGGTCTGAACTACGCCAATATTACATGGATGATGCCGACAGCTGAGGATAACAGTGGTTTCTTTACGACACAGCAAACAGCAATGTCTGGCGACGGGTTTGGTATTGGGACTGACACAGTGACGTATACTTTTACAGATGCTAACTTGAATATGAATGAATGTACCTTTATCGTCAACGTAACAGGTGGGTACATTATATACATTTTTGACAATAATTGAATTCCATATAGTTGGTGTTATTCCATATCGACATAATCCAACAAATGGATGATTGAAAGTCTATTACACAATTTATTTAGCACTCAGAAAATGCAATGTTTACATAATATTTTTTTTTTACAAATGTCTATAATAAATATCTATGTTGGATTTATTTGGTGTAATCACCAAGGATAGCCCATGAAAGTCTAGAAGAAGACTTATTTCCAGTGGGTCCTTCTGGTGGTGATTGGGCAGTACACCGGGAGACAATCCCCTACTCTTTTCCGAAGAGTGTACTGCATTTTTTAACGTTCACATGGGCCATAAATACACACAGGACCAATGGTGTAAACGTCTGATCCAAAAGACGGTGCGCTATATGTAACTTGACCTGCAGCTGAAACACAAGGAGAGGCAGCGATGGGAATTGAACCGGGGACCTAGAGATATCCACGGTTCAGCGCACACATTGGCTACCACCAGATCAGCTGACTAAGCTAAGCTGCTCTTTCCTATAGCATTTTTTTTTATTCTTAAATACTTTTTTCGGCGTCTTCATACCATTGTCTCCATTGTCCGAACTATTGGGCTTAAATGAAAATATATACACATAATACATAGGTCTTATTTTTAAATTTAGACAAACTGTAAATTTCTTCAATAACATTTTTACATAACATTTCTAGAGCGCAAGCGCCATTGGACTTAAAGCGTGTGTTGTTTCAATTATTGTAAAATACAGCTGGATGTAGATTTTGTGTGATAGATGTGCTTTGATTTTTTTAATTTAAATGGGCCTAGACCTATTTCAAGAGATTAATGAATGCTTTCGCTTGATAAATGACAATAAAAAGAGATCATAGGCCAAAATAAACAAACTGTTACTCAGCTCTTTATTTCTCCTTTCACACCGAAACCTAGCCTGGGTTCCAGGCCCTAATTTTAGGTTACTCACTCTTTATTGCACTTAGTGCGCGCCATACCTAATTTAATTGGCGTCCCATACTCGATTTCTTTTTTTTCGAATTATTCCGTCTATAGTCACATGATTAAAAACTAATACAATAGTTTTTAATCATGTGACTGTTAATCCCTTTCATGTCACCTACACTTGGTTTACTATCTTATATTTATTTTTGTTCACTTGATCTTGAGAATGCGTCCATGATGGACACGAAACGTCGATCCTTTTTGTCAATAAATTTTGTGTTAAAGTTATATGGTAAACGTCTGTTGATTCGTATTCCGTCTATCTCTAAATTAACTTTCTCGTTGGTGGCGCTATCCAGAATGAGAAAAATAATAACAAATAAGAGACTTGTGGCAAGTCTAACCGAAACCATGACAGTTGAGTGACCGCTAAACAGGTCACATGAATAGAACTCACTGATGTTGAACTCAGGTCAGATTAACATAAACATTATCATTGCTAATCATGTTTGTATATTGTATATTATTTAGCTTTCAATATATTTCCTAATCAGATATCGAAAATCCCGAAATCACATGCCCGGCAGATGTAACCGTAGGAGCAGACAGCGGTGCACTTGACACATCAGTAACATGGAATTCACCATCAGCCAGCGATAATGATGACGTGGAGGTGCAGATAGTATCTGATGTGAATTACGTCAATGGAAGTACTTTTCAGATTGGCACAACTACAGTCACATACCAAGCAACTGATCCGAGTGGAAACACAAATTTGTGTAGCTTTAATGTAACTGTTGAAGGTAAATGAAAAAGGTGTCGGAATGTGAAATATAGCTGTGAATAAAAATAGATGTATAGATAGATGGATAGACACTCTAATAATCAGATGGCCGGACTGCGAATTGACGGTTTTGAGGAATTGACAAATAAAATTATCTAATTATTTGATATATAAATAAATATAATTATAAAATATTATAAAGATTATTTTAAAAATATAAATCTTGGTATTAAAAACATGCAAATTTAGGACAATGACGAGTAGCAGCAAAAGCGATGTTAAAGATGATGATAACGATGATGATGATTATTAAAAATATATTGATAATAATAAGAATGTTGGCAATGGTGATTATCCTAAGATGAGGACAATAATAAGGCAAAAAAAAAATTGCTGTGTTGGCCTTAAATGAAAAAATCGAGATCGTCGGTCTGTCGGTCGGGTTTTTTTTTTTTTTTTTTTTTTAGTATATTCTGAATAGGATAGGCCTGAAAAACTAGTCCCTATAATGAAGACCCTGGGTATGACCTCGTAACTAGAGTTGTAGCCACCACAATAGAACGATGGCAAACTTGCCAAATAAAAAAATATATTCAAAGTATATAAGATGGAATAAATACTAACCAAGTGTATATTGAGATAAATTTAACAAAAATAAATCAGTTTAAAGAAAGATTTATTTGGCTGCGAAACGTAAAATAATAATATTATGTGTGTCCGATTCACACGATCGTGCACGGGCATGTTGAGCAAAACCATACTGTGACTATTAAAAATTTCCAAACAAGCCCCCTCTATGTAAGACAATCAAAGTAAACTTCGAGAAAAAAATGAGACAAATATTTTGTTTATGGTTGGCCTAACCGTGACGAAGCTGAAAATGTCTAGCTAGGCCTTGTACCAGTTTCAAAGCGATGGCTAGATCTAAGCCTGTTTTTATTAATTGTCCAATATACCGTAAGGTAAAGAATACGATTTTTGATTCAAGCAACCATGTACAGTAGTAAAGACTAGGTTAGGCCTAGATCTGGCGTGGCTTCACAGTGCATCACGAGAGATCCGATGTTGTGTGCATATCGTCGTCATGCTCGGTTCTCAAAATTAGGCCTATGCCTTCTATTTTACCGATTTTACGTGTGCATAAAGGCCCGATGATGATGGTGATAGCAGCAGTGTTTCGATTGAGCTGCTTAAATCGTCTTCAGGAGAATAATAGCTGCAGAAGTTCCAAACAGGGATATGTGGATATGTGGTTGATATATATTGATTTTGCCATATAAAAAATGTTTATGATATTAATATTCTCAGTCAGGCTACATAAACACACAGAATAATGAATGACTAGCAAAAGTAGTCACACTATAAGAATATCTATCAATAACATTGGTATTACTTAGAAGCCTTTTCAAAAAGTGCTCTTTGTGCAAGATTGTTAATAATAATAATAATAATAATTTATTGGGAAACTACACTTTTGTTAACGATCATTCCAAAATAATTTCTTATGAAAATAGATATGGAGGATCCTGATATCAGTTATTGTCCTGCAAATATTACGCTGCCAACAGACGAAGGTGCTGGTGATCGAGTAGTGTACTGGACAGAGCCAACAGCAACCGATAATTCAGGAAATGTTTCTATTACTAGATCGCATACAAATGGCTCAACATTTGATCTTGGTGACACTACAGTAATGTATAATTTCTCTGACCCATCTGGAAATACAGCAACGTGTGAATTTACGGTAACAATAATTGGTAAGTGTTACAATTAATAGTAGAATTGTAGTAGAGGTATAAGTTGGTTGCTGAAATTCGTCGGATTACAAGTTCCCTGGAATGTTTATCCTTACGGCAAAAATGTAACTAGTTAAAAGCCGGCATGATGTGAGCATAACTGATGATGAAAAGAGGTTACAGTATACATATATTTTTGTTTATTTATTGTTTATTAGCCGTGAAATACAAGCCTCTAGAACTGAAGCATAACTTGAACATTTCAACACCTTGCGTTTACTGCGTGTCTAAGTAAACCCTTAACTCGTCGCATTGCTTGTGTCCTTGGGCAAGGCACTTTACTTACGTTTGCCTCTCTCCACCCAGTGGTGTAAAAGGGTACCTAGTAGGATGGTTTGGCATTGAAAGTATGAGTTGTGGGTGTAAAGAAGTATATCTATGGATACTCCCCAGGGAGCAGAGAAAGTTGCACTAAAATGTGTTGGTTGGCCAAGTCAGTATCAAGTGACCAGAGAAATAATGATGCCAGCGCATTGTATATTCTCCAGATTGTGATAGACGCTATATGCATTCTGATTATAAAAAAAACGAAAACAAAAACTTTAACACTCTATGTATGTATACCATCAAGTATAAAACATATTGTGGCTTTAATTGGCTACTTAGGCCTTTCTATATTTGATTTGTGATGGCTAGGCTCTTAAACTACTTGGTGTTTTAAATTACAGTACAGTACTGATGATTAAGATGATATTAGTCATTTAGAGGGGGAAATATAGTCAACAAAACATATCCCTTGTCATCCTGAAACTACGTGTGTATATTCATGTTTTATATAATACATTTGAAATTGTTCACCGAATGTTAACTAGGTGACATAAATTATCTGAAATTAAAGAAACAAATAAATACCACGTCATTAAAATACAATACTTCAATTAAAAAAAAAAAAACACCACAGAATTTTACCAATTAGTTTTACTCTCTAAATGCTTGATTTTTACATCATTCAAAAATAAAAGGTACATTCATACTATTTTCATTAAAAAATGAATAATTGTAGAAACATGCAGTAATTTAGAGCATGTACTGTAAATTCTCCTAGTATACCATTGGTATAAATATAAAAATTATTGTTCTGAATGCACTTGAATTTTGAAAGTAACATTTTTTTGTGTCACTCATCACAGTTAAGAATGTACAATTATCAGCCTATAATAGCTCATAATAAACACGAAAGTATAGTTAATTTGATGAGTGACTCACTTTAATTTAATTATATATTAATTCATGTAAGTCTATTAATTTATTCATACATTTATACCTTTGTTACAGATATTGAACCTCCAACGCCTTCTCCGTGTCCCAATAACGAAACTTATAGTACTGATTTAGGAGTAAATTATAAAGAAGATGTTACTTGGTCTGGAGTATCATTCAGTGACAACGCTCCGTCGGACATGGCATTGGAAACTTCTAGTAGTGGAATTACTTCGGGGTCCAATATGTTCCTACTCGGAACTACTGAAGTAACATATTCGGCTACAGACGAAGCAATGAATACTGGATATTGCACATTCTTTATAACAATCATCGGTAATAAAATACATTTTAAGTTGATTGATTGACAGACTGATGGATTGATTTTAACGTAGATTAAGTACAGTAATTAGCCATTTTATTTAAAGAAAAAACTCACCTCGACCAATCAGCTTGGTCTTCTTACAGGATGATCAAGGTTAAACCCATAGGCACAGGTTAAGATGAGTTTAAATAAACCGCCATGTGATATTTTTTTTCAATTCATTATGAAACAATTATTTGAGCCTATTTTTAGAATGTTTACGTTCTTTTTTTTTTAATGTTGTATACGGAAGTTTTACCTCAATTTATAGTTTGCTTAAGTGTGCAGTAATAATCTGTTCTTGGCCCTACAGTATTTGTTTTAACCTAAGTGTTTTGGATCTCCGAATGTGTATATGTTATACTTCTGTATTCTTCAATACACTTAAATTACTTGCATTAATTCTCTGCCGGTATATCCATATACCAAAGTGTTAATTCAATTATGGAATGAAGTCGTGAAAACCGCATTCAACTTATCATCACTTATCTTAGTTAAGGTAATGCATATTTCCCGATTTACAATACTGTAAATCAACTGTCAGATTATAATTTCTAATGATTTTTATAGTCAGATGATAAATCTTATAATATTAACTGTGACAAACTCGAAGACTGCTGAGATATTTGGTTTTAGACGCTTGATTCAAGGACGAGGATTTTTTTTATTCAATGTTCATTGAACTGAATGTGCAAGATGTAAAAATAAAAGCTTGTTGCCGAAGTTCACCGTTATAGCTTGACTACTAACACATCTCAAAGAACTAAATGTAATAACTAAATCTAACTTCATATGGACACACAGACTTCTGCTCCTCACTGTCGCATTTGTATTCATCTGTGCACCATACACGCAAAACACCTAAAATTTGTTCACAACTTTGCACGCACCAATGTCCAACCAACAAAATACACTGTTTTAATTCATATCATCGTCTTTGTGATCAGCTATTTTTATCCAAAACACTCATATATTTCTTCTTATATTTTCCATTTGCTTACTCGTATATTTCTATAACAAAATAATTACTATGATAAGACATAATATGACACGATGTGATACGTGTTGATTGATTGATTTTATTAAACATTTAAGACACTGAACTTCCAACTGTAATGTGCCCGGACGACATATCAACAAACTCAACTGAGGGTGCAGCAACCGCCATAGTGAGTTACACAGCTACTGCGATGGACAATGTGGAAGTTACAATGGAAAGTTTCGACATGCCTTCTGGTTCAGCATTTGACTTTGGTGACACCAATGTTACGTTTATGGCATTTGATGCAGCTGGTAATGAGGGCAATTGCACATTCACTGTCACAGTTGAAGGTAAGGCTGGCTAAATATGAGGAATCTGTGAATGTAAAAAAAAAAAGTTGCCCCAACAAAAATAACAATGCTGTTTGAAGCCATGGCTGAATCTCGATGGAGATACAAATTCGATAAGCAACACCTGGAATATAATTCAAGATAGATTGAATTTTATGTTGAACTGCCACCAATTTTTTTTATAAATAATTTTCTTTTGTTTAGAATTGAAATAATAATATTTTCAAAAATTTTTTCCAAATAATTTTCTGATGGTTTTATTTGTAAATAACTGTGAGATGTTGGAATTCACAGGAGAAATAACAGTCATGGAGACGAAGTAAACTTCAACGACTAATTATTTATTTCGAATAGGAACTAGGATCAAAAGCATGTGTCAGGCGTAACACACAATCATAGCAAAAACCGTAGCAAAAACAAACCAAAACAAAACCCCCAACTTGACCGGGCAGTGACTGCCAACATGCGTCAAGCTAGAAAGGAAAAATACAATATACAGTAACACAATAAATTATAAATACAGTTATTGCGAGGTGCAATTACAACTGACTCATATCTATAAGTTCTGTACCATTAATCATAACATATTTAGTTGGCTTATTGCCTTACTTCACTTAAATATGCTAATCAATTAAATGAAAATAAGAGTAATTAAATCTAACACACAGTAATTAACTGCAGTAATAATTAACATAGAAATGATGGTTTTAAGAATGTATATCAACAATATGGCAAATTATCGTCATAAAATGATAATTAATAAACGTCGTAATAATACCAAATAAATCGGTAATTAAATGTAAATAAATACAATTAGCAAACAACATAATCATATCAATATCATCAATTGTAATAATAAATAAAAGAATGGTATTCCAATCATAATAATAAGCATGATAAATAATAAGTACAATCAAACATAGTCATCATATCAAGTTAAACAAAGGAACTTAATCCCACCTTATCATAAGCTGCACGTTACGACGTGACTCTATAACATGAGCCTTCTTGTCCTTGACTATTGCAAGTCCTGTTAACCAAAATAACATAGCATTCTTTAATACAATGGCTCGAGCGTAACAAGCGTGACCTCTGGCCTTTACACTTTCACTAGTTACAACACTTGTTATTTCTTTACACACATTTACTATACTTTACTATTTACTTCATGAAATGCATAGCTTAACATATCACAATGCCAATCCTTAGTGGATCTATATGACAGACTATTACTCTGTATTGTATTTATCCAGTGATAACACTAGCATATAAATCTAGGCTCAACCCAGTTCAACGAACTCAATCACAGCCCTGTCTGTGGCACACATGTTGCTCGTCCTTAATATCATGCCTGTCTCCCTAAGTTTAGGCAGTAGGCCTATCTTAGCTATGAGCAAGTTAATATCGCATTATAAAACAATGGAGCATTCTTTAATTAATAATGCCAGATCTAAATACATAAAATATCATTATAAGAAACTTAATAGAACATACCTATGCCTTCCCTAGGCAATAGAGTACATGACAACCTTCACAACTTTACACAATGTGTTGCTCCTTCGACTTCTGGCTTTGTTGTGAATAAACGCTGTCAAAAGAGATGCTCTAATCCTAATTACATATAACCCGCGGAATCACCCTCCGCACTATATATAACTTTATCAGGCTATAATCATGTAAAAGTAATATTCTCTTCTTAAACTGCAACTAGTTATGAGATGCATATATAATTGCAATGCATCATCATTACTAAACATATTTTAGTAATAAAATATATAATCAAAAATGGGAACTATATAAAACTGAGTAGTAACACAGGGCTACTCACTCCTTTACTAAAACATCTACGGAAGTCGTTATGTAACATGATTAAGATAATATGGTATTAATTATCCAGAAGTCATGAACAAAGAAACCAAAATTAAACAAAGAAACTACTGAAAATCCAAAATAAAGTCATAAGGAAATGGGTAAAACCCATACCTTACAAAACTACTATATGCAATGTTTTCTAAATATTTCTTTTTGTGGTTTATTGTTCTTAGTGTAAATTCAGTTGTTCTAGCCCTGTGCTGCAGACACTTTTTTTTAATGTTTTTATACCTAAATATATAAAGAATTCATCGTATTACCTATTTGTATGCTACAGTACAATATTATATTTAATGTACAAGATATACACAAGTTAAACCGTGAAACTGTTTCTTAGCCCGTGATTTCTTTTAACTACATAAGGTAACTTAAGATAATCAAATCTCGGAATTTTTAAAGAAGGAAAATAAACACTATGTTAATATACTACATATACTTTGATAGACTGATTGATTGATGTTATTATATGCTCAACATGCACAAACAATATAAAAATAATTTAAGAACAAGAAAAGTTAAAATTAATGAGCATCAGGAGCACCCATTAGTCCAGCCCATTTCCAATGTGGTCTAAAATTGCACATTAAAAAAATTAAAAAAGAACACACATACAATAACTATGTTATATATTTCACTTTATTTTTTTTTTCTCTCCAGATTTTGAACCGCCTGAGTTTACTAATTGTCCAGATAACATAACTGAAACAACCGATGAGAGAGTAAATTATACAATGGTTAGTTGGAGCCCAGTAACTGCAGAAGATAATTCTCTGGTTGAACCAAATATTGAGAGTTCCCACAATTCCAATGATAGTTTTTACATTGGAACCGTTGAGGTTGTATTTACTGCTACTGACAATGCCGGAAATGAAGCTACTTGTTCATTTTTCGTAACAGTTGAAGGTTAGTAACATGATCATACCTTTATGGTTAAAAAGTTTGTCAATGATGCAAAATTCTGTGTTCCGTGATTCAAAATAGTTGGCTTAAGTCGAAATACGTGATCGGTAGTAAAAGGAATTCAGAATTATGACAAAAGAAACTAGCACTGAGATCAACTATGCTAGACTTTTTTAGCATTTGACGCTGTCGTCCGGTTTATCAGACTATTCTGCATAAAATAATTTCTGGATTAATCTAGTTAGTTTATTCAACCTAATTTATAGAGATCTAAGTCTTATATATTGTCTTAGGACTGTTAATGTATTGACACACTATATATTTATCGATTATTATATTTAATTCAACAGTTTTTCAAGAAGGTGGTTTTTAATTTGAAAATTGATGCCCTAAGTATTCCCAACAGAAGAGATACAATAATTTGATATTATATTAGGGTAGCATAAGTGATTACATTGAATTGACTATCTTCTCCCTTTTTCTGAACAGACGATGAAGAGCCAGTTATTGAAGGCTGTCCTAGTGATATAACTCAGATGTCGGATATGGGCAGCAATACTAGGAGCGTCAATTGGACAGCACCTACAGCCACTGATAATTCGTATGATCCACCAGTCGTTGAATCATCTCATTCCCCTGAAGATATTTTTGAAATCGGAACAACTACCGTAGTTTATAACTTTACAGATGCATCGGACAACCAGAATCAGTGTACATTTGATGTAACCATAACAGGTGAGATTAATTAAACATTTGTTTACAGAAAATAGGCCTCCCTTCATAATACTTTGATAAACTTTTGAATTGGCGCGCTATAAATGTCTGTTATCATTATAATAATAATAATTATTATTATTATTAATTTTATTATTAATATTTTTATAATAATTATTATTATTATTGTTATTATTATTATTATTATTATTATTATTATTATTATTATTATTATTATTATATCTGAACCAATGCCAAAAAAAGGCACAATTATTGTTTGTTATTATTTATTTATATATTTTTTAAAATTGAGTTTTAAGATTTTTTATGTTCATTCTCCTTTACTATTTAGACGATGAAGCACCACAATTCATTGATTGTCCATCAGATATTAATGCAGTGACTGATAATAATCTTCCTACGTCTTTTCAAATGTGGGACCCTCCCACGGCAACTGATAACAATGGAGTACCAAATGTTACCGAATCACACACATCACCATTTGATTTTGCAATTATGATAACCAATGTTACTTATGTGGCGACAGACTTGTCCGGCAATACTGCTGTATGCTTTTTCCTCGTGAACATCACAGGTGAGGCATATATATTTTTATGTATATTTGTGTGGCATTTGCCGCTATAATTTTTTTTTTTGATAGATAGGTAGATTCATTTATTCATTCTTTATTTTGCCTTCGATAAAAATCACAACACAGTTGGAACATACAGTAAAATAAAACAAGAAATAACACTGACATTACAGAAAAACTGTAAATTCAAGGAGGTAAAGGATTAACAAAAGCAATAACAATTGATGTAGCTCACAAGCTTGATTATATTGATTGATTAATTAGTTACTTGGCAGAATTATTGATTGTTTATTACTGTCAAACTTGTACTTGTACTTTTGACTTTTTTTTGTAGATCAGCAGAATCCAAATGTAACATGCCCACCACTAACAGAAATGAACACAACAGATGGTGGTAACACTGCCGTTGTCACTTGGGCAACGCCAGAAAGTAGTGATAATGATGACCAGGTTACGGGTGTTACATCCAGCCTGATGTCAGGAGATACATTCAACATTGGCGACACAAATGTCACAGTAACAGCAACAGACACTTCCGGAAACACGGCATCGTGCGTCTTTATTGTCAGGATAATTGGTAAGTCTTTTTCCTAACATATTTTTCAGTAATTTAGTGATTTGTACAAAAAAAAGTGAATTTCCTGTCGACGTAGGTAATACAAATATTTAATTAAAATCGGACGTGCATAGTAATAGTATGATATCAAACAACAACCGAAAGGTCCACTGATTATTCTCAGATAAGATAGTATAATACATACTCCAAGTATCGAAATGCGTGCATCGTGTCGGGATTCAATGAATGATGACAGATTTCTGATGATGACATAATTAATGTTGAAATATTGAATCCCGACATGATGGCGTGCATTTCGATACTTAGAGTGTTATTCTACTATCATATCAAACAACAACCTTTCAGATCCTGAAGCACCAGAAATTCAAGACTGCCCTGTAAATATAACAGTGTCAGCAGACATGGATACTAATAGTACTAATGTAATATGGACACCACCAACTGCAACTGACAATGACGGTACACCAGATGTGAATAATAATTTCTCACCTTCATCAAGGTTCGAAATTGGAGAATATATGGTTGTTTACACTTTCAGTGATCCATCTGGAAACGAGGCCACCTGCACTTTTATCGTCACTGTAACAGGTAAAAGTATTATACGCACTGTACCAATATTTATTACAGTTTTTAATTGTAAATCATATATTCTTCATTTTTTTTTATACATTATATTTGAATACTTATGTTCCTTACATATCGATTGTTTAACGGTTTCATTTACATGCAGTCATTAGATTATTACCAGTTCACATTTTCATGTTTCGATGTCAATGATGTTGAACTGACGAAAAATAATTTTCAGTGTATTCCATCTGTGGGTGATGGGCAGTGTAGCGTAAACAATTCCCTACTCTTCCCAAAGTACAGTAATGCGCTCTACGTGCGCTCATGCCATTTTGCATCGCACATGGAATAAATGGTGTAATAGTCTCATCCGAAAAAAGGTACGCTATTAAAACTTGCATTTCAGCTCACAGCTAAAACACTAGAAGAGCCAAGAGGTTAAATCTAAACATAGTCATCGCAATGAGCAATAACCTTGACTGTGTTTACTTTACTTGCAGATGATCAAGATCCAGAAACGATGAACTGTCCCAATGATATCATGAACTCTACAGATATTATGAGTAACACAACTTCGGGAATCACCTGGATCCCGCCAACCTACATAGACAATTCGGGTCAACCAGTAATAGTAACAATATCGGGAAGCACAGACCCACCTGCAACGTTTCCGATCGGTGAAACTAACGTTACGTATACAGCGACTGATGAATCTGGAAACACCGATGTATGCTCATTCTTGGTTACTATTACAGGTAAGAGTCTGTTGAAGATTCTTTTTTTCATCTTATGATACATTTCATAACAGTGGCAGATTCAAAGGATCCCAGCCATACACCACCACCCCCCCCCCCCAAAAAAAAACACTTTAAAAAAAAAGATAATCAAATTTAGTTAAAAAATGGAAACAAAAAAAAAATTTAAGTGTGAGAGTACCATCGATCTCCGGTATTAGGTGCCATAATCATAGATTTTCTTGGTATAAACTCTCCATTTGGGAGTCCATTTGTGCCACCTTTATTTGAATTCCTGGATCCGCCACTGTATGAGGTATAAAGACAAAGGTAAGAGAATAACTCATAACTCACAGTGTCATTTTGCTGAATTGCGTATGGACGTGGTATGCGACTACTTAGACTCTGTAAAGGAGCGGTTATAGGCCTTAATAGTACCTTCATGTTTACATCATTTCACACGGACAGGCGCTAAAATGAACAGTCTTTCTCTGACAAGACTTTAGTTCTACCAACCAAACCCTGGGCAAGGAGGAGCTCGAACCAGTGCCTATATTATTTAGCGGTGTCCCCGTGGCAGCACAGCTCGGCCACTCGACTCGTATTATGTTTTTTTTGCCAGTTTTTAATTACCATTCAAGCGCTCAACAGCAGTTTATTGGACAATTTACATATTTTGTAATACATAGACCTATATGTTTTTGGTTTTAAATCACCATTTAAGCGCTCCGTGGCAGTTCATTAGACAATTTACATATTTCAGGGGCGGATTTAGGGGGGAGCCGGCCCGGCCCCGGCCCCCCCCCCTTTTGGGAGGTAAAAAAAAGGAAAAAATAAGAAAAAAAAGAAAACAAAAGAGAGAAAAAGAAAAAAATTATAGCCCAGAATGCCTCAAATGTTATGTTCGGGCATCTAGAACACAAAAATTTCACGGGGGCATGCCCCGGACCCCTACGACAGTGTTGTCTCAATCGGCCCCCCCTTCCGGCCCCCCCTTTTGGACATTTCTGGATCCGCCCCTGTATTTTGCTATTAAACATCCAATGTTACAATTGTCTAAAAAATATTTGACAAATACTTGGATATCATTGTCACCTAGAGTGGTATCTTTAATGTTCTATAAATAATAATAAATGTATTAGACAATTTCCAGTAGGAAATATTTGGCAACAACTAAAGGAAGTTGGTAGTCAGATTGGTTTTAATGTGAATTAAAATGCATTGTATCAAAAATATAAACATTAAATTCTATGATCTGCTCAATGGCGTTTTTGATTGTTTTCTCTGCCGACAAACCATTCAAAAAAACCCTGAACGACAATCTGCTTTTGTAATGAAATGTATAAATAAAAAGTGTCTCTGACGGGATTCGAACATGCAACCTCTCGCTATAAGGGCAAGTGCCATACAACGTTTACGGTTATTTTGATATATATTATATATTTTTTTAGTATTATATTATTTTGCCTTTGAGTAGCCTACCATAGAACACTCTGCTTATTATAATATTTGTGCATTTTAATTATTATAAATTATATATAGGCCTATAATACATACATATATATTATAATATATATGACATATATATGTCACATATATAATAACGTAATAATATATATATTTTTTTTAAGATGATGAGTCTCCAATTATCATTACTCCCTGCCCGGATGACATCTCAAATTCGACTGAATTCTATGGAAGTACACCACGCGTCATATGGACGCCACCAACAGCAACAGATAATTCTAACTCAGTTACAACTACTTCTACTCACATGCCTAATGATACGTTTCCTGTCGGATATGGAATTGTAACTACTGTAACATACACATTTACTGACCCGTATGATAACGAGGTATCCTGCTCGTTTGATGTAACTATACAAGGTGAGTCGACGTTCGTTGTATTGTATGAATACCATATTGCTGTATTTTTTACTTTTTTGCCCCGAATTTCCATTTATGTTGACATTAATATCCAATTATTATATAATTTTGATTTTTTTTTTTGCAGATCTTATTCCCCCTGTATTACATGACCTGCCCTCAGATTTTTCTGTAAACACTAGTGTTGGCGTAAACTACACTGTCGTATCGTGGCCTGCACCCTCATCTACTGATAATTCTGGTGTTGTTTACCAGGCATCACTTGTGCAACCTGGCACAGTGCTTGAAATTGGAACGCACGAGGTCTGCTATGTTGCAGTTGATCCTTCAAACAACGCCGTCAGAGAATGTTTCTTCGTCACAGTTGAGGGTATGAATTTTAGGATAAATCTGTGAGAGTAAAACGGTTGCATTTTACTAAAATCCTAGTAAAATTCAACAGTTTTACTCTCCAAACCAAATACAAATTCACACACAACCTCCATATACTTATACAAGCATACAAGAGAAAAAAACAATCTAGAAAAAAAACTCGATAATTTAACTGCAATCCTCATACGCATGCGGTCAAAGGCTTTTCCCTCGCACCAATAAATCCGTCTAGTTTGAAACCTGCTTAAAATTTAATTGAAAGAAAGTTGAAACATACGTAGAGCTAATACATGTTCGACTGATCTTAAAATTGGTTTATTCATTTAATAATTGCATTCCAAATCATCCAAATAATATCGGGCTAGGAAGCGATTTATAATCAGGAATTTATTTGTTCGTAACATGACGAACAATTCAGGGGCGGATCCAGAAATGTCCAAAAGGGGGGGCCGGAAGTTGGGCCAATTGAGACAACACTGTCTTAGGGGGTCCGGGGGCATGCCCCTGCGAAATGTTTGTTTTCTAGACGCCCGAACATAACATTTGAGACATTCTGGGCTATTATTTTTTTCTTTTTCCCTCTTTTTTTTTTTTACTTCCCAAAAGGGGGGGGGGGGGCCGGGCCGGCTCCCCCCCCCCCCCCTAAATCCGCTCCTGAGTGTTTTGGTTTATGGTTATCAGAACACATTATATTGACTGCAAATGATTATTTTTAAAACGCACATTTTGTTCTCCATTGTTTTTTCAGACAATGAGCGACCTGTGATAACTAACTATGAAATGGAGCACTTGGTAGTGTTCACTAATCCTGGAACCAACACCACAGTCGATTGGAGTATTCCAGTTGCTACAGATAACTCGAATGAACCCGTGACAGTAGAATGTAATATAGAATCTGGGTCTTCATTTGAAATTGGCAATTATACAGTGACGTGTACGTCTACCGATCCATACAACAACACAGCCAGTATTATGTTTGAAATATATGTTTTTGGTAAGTTACGTCGTAATACTAATAATTGGTGTCTGAGTTTATTTAATCTCTGTTAGCAACAGGGGTGGCGCCAGCGAGGGGCCCCGCGGGCCAGGCTCTGCCCACCGTTGGGGAGAGCTGCCCATCCCCCCCCCTTGGGGAGAAAAAGCACAATTCGTCGGCGAGAAATAGAAATTATATGTATTTTCTACATATTAGTAAACTCTAAAATCGATTAAATAAGCCTTTGAAACCCCTAAATTGTCAAAATTTTCGTGGGGCCTTAGCCCACAGGGCCGCTTTCGAAACCTTTTAATCAAAGCTCGACCATGACCACTTTGGTTTTGTCGGGGAAATCTGACACTCGCCCTGTTTCCCTCGTTTAAATAGTTTAGTTTTCTTTTTTTCATCATTATATTTTTTAAACAGATTCAGGATATATCTGCCAGGGAGACCAAGTACCAATAAATGGCTTATAGTTCGAAGCGGAAATTTGGAGATGGGTGTTTTCTTAAATATAGGCCTAGGCATAATTATGATTTACACAAATCACAATAAGTTTATAAGTGAGATACCTGGATAAGCCAACTGATTGCAACTGTTCCTATAAGAACACCCCGTTGGGAACAGTGGCTGATGAGAGAAATACGCCACCTGTGGATCTGCAACTGTATCTTGTGTCATTTAGGGTAAATTTCATAGAATCTTTACATGTATGATTTTTTATTCATTTTTCCAATCAGTATTTTGTTTTTTATTTCCCAAAAGCAACTGACATTGAACCACCTGTTGTGACCTGCCCCAATTCATTTGAAGTTACAACCGATCCCGGTTCTCCGAGTGCATCTCCAGTTTCATGGCAACCCGTTACGGCAACCGATAACTACGGCGTATACAATTTGACTGGAACACATGCAAATGGCTCTAGTTTTAACCTTGGACCGACACCGGTCACGTTTATTGCCTTTGATATTTCAGGGCTGATGGGAGAATGTAATTTTACTGTGACTGTGATAGGTAATGATTAATTTCTGTATATCCACAGTGTTAATATCTCTTCTGTTTTTCTGATTTGGATGCAATATAACTTTTTTTATCAATATTACCAATTGGACAAAATATGAACACGAACAGTATATCAAAATACAAGCCGGCACAGCACTAATTATAATCAACTCCAACATAACAGGCAACAGTAGATCAGCATATGTATTTAAGCAATTCAATAATTTTTTAAAACATCAACATAAAACAAAAGTATCATTACAAGTGTCTTAAGTATGAAAATTTGGGTTGTAGAGGTTTTGTGTTCAGTTATCAAACTGTAGTTATATATAAAACAGGGAATTTCTATGATGAACAAACGCTATAACTTGTAACATACCATACATATCGGCCTATGTGTCTTATACCAAATAGGGTAATATATAATATTTGTATATATATTCAACTGATTATATGCTTTCTTAACCAGATGAAGAAATTCCAGACATTATTACCTGCCCAGAAAACATAACACAAAATACGGATAGTGGAGAAGCATTTGCTACTATAGCAATTGGTATGCCGACTTATCAGGATAACTCTGGATCGGCAACACTTTCAATGTCACCTAATACAGCTATGTTCAACATTGGACAAACTACAGTCATCTTCACTGTTACTGATGCTTCTGGAAATTCCAACAGTTGCGAGCTCATTGTTACTGTAAAAGGTAAAATCAAGTAAATGTGTCTATTTGATGTTTTATGCGTATAACATTAAGGATACAATAATGTGTTTCATAAATAGTAACTAATACCACAGTTACGACTGCAACCGCCTCTATACTGGCATTGACTATGAAGTAGCTGTGGAAGACGAGTAGGAGTAGGCATAGTATATGTGATTAATTTTTGTTGCAATATTTTTCTTTTTGAGGTTGTGTGGTTTATAAAATATTTATATGAATAAGAAGAATACAAAAACCAAGGGATAAAGTATAAGTTAACATTAAATAAATTAAAATACTGAGATTATAGAGTAAAAATATTTATCAGAAAATCATATTGGAAAAAATATTTTATTTGTAATTTCAGACAATGAGGACCCAGTGATTGTACACTGTCCTAATGACATATTGGAAGATAACTTAGCTGGACAAAACTTTGCTGACGTGGTGTGGACAACACCTAATGCTACAGATAATGATATGATCCAAGACACATACATGTCATCTACGTCAGGCTCAAGATTTACTGTTGGTGAAACCAATGTGAACGTCATGTGGGTTGACAATTCAGGGAACTCTGCCACTTGTGAATTTGTTGTAGAAGTAAGAGGTACGTATATATTGTGACAGCTTACTTGAAAGAGCTATAGTGATTCATTTGTTTAATCTGTCCCGACCATCTTTTTTTGTTCTTTGGTGGAATAAATAAATGAAACAAAACTAATGTATGCCTATGTTACATTAGAGTATGCATATATGCAACGTAAAACATGACAAAAACAGATATACGCTACTAACAAAACTACTACTACTACTATTATTATAAATAAACTAGTCATAAAAGTACTGAATATCCTGAGTTTTATTTACTACTATTATTGTTATTATTATTATTATTGTTATTATTATTATTATTATTATTATCATCATTAATATTATTATTATTGTTTACCATCTTATAAAAACCTTTGCAAGCTTGTGTAAATCGGTTTCATTTTAAGTTTTTTTTGTTTTTTTTTTTAACTTTTAGACGTTGAGTCACCTGTATACACTAACTGCCCTACGGCCGACGTGCAACAGGAGACCTCCATTGGTACGAATGAATCCGCTGTGTTTTGGACACCACCCGAGCTTTCTGACAATGTTGGTGTAGTTGTGAACATATCTGATTACGAACCTGGAGATGTTTTTCAGCTAGGTGTTACTGTAGTAACGTACCGCGCCGAGGATGCTGCTGGGAATATCAAGCAATGTGTGTTTACTGTAGTAGTGATTGGTAGGTTGAATTATACTTTATTGTTACCTCATCTGGACTTTTTGAAACCTATTAAAAAGTAACATTGAGAAAAAAATTTTTCTAGACTTTATACGATCCTGATGCTTTCTCTCTTTTCAACAGTGACTCTTAGTGGCTGGGCCAACAGATGAATAAAGGTTTCTAGCACAGGGGCATATATCGAAAAAAGGGCTCATGTTCCCAATTCATGTACATGTCATTAACGCATATTTATATTTGGTGTATACATATACTATTATAATATTTAAAAATTTAAAATATATATATAAATATAAGTATTTAAAAAAATAATAACATTGTTTATATACGGGCCCGTAGCCAGGTCCTTCCAAGGGGGGTTTTCTGGGCGTGAGGTCCACGGTCGAAGCCCCGGTGGGGTCGGCAAAACCCCCAAAGCAAGAGGATTTTTGTGCTTTATGGGTCTAAATAATGCTATAAAAGTAGATATGTTTGAAAACACCTGTGTCTGGGTGGGTCTGCAGTGCATTAGTTGGGTTGGAGGACTTATTTGGGAAATTTGAAGAGGGGGGGGGGTTCGCCATAAAAAAAGGGGTTTGCTAGAAAAGGGGGATTCTCCCGAACCATAGAAACCCCCCTTGGATATGGGCCTGATATATTGGTATTATCTTGCAGACACCGAGAATCCTGTATTTAGTACGTGTGCCATTCTTCAACCTAGTATCACAAATTCAACTCTACCGGGTGAAGCTGTGGGTACAGTATATTGGGACATACCGACAGCATCAGACAATGACAAGGTCATGAGGGTCATAGCTTCACATATGCCTAATGATACGTTTGGATTCGGTTCTACATCGGTGTTATATACGGCTTACGATGACAGTGGAAACACTGGCACTTGCTCTTTCCAAGTTATAATCACAGGTATAAAATTAGTTTTACTTTTTTTAATAAAGAATTTGGTGTTCGACCATGCTTTAAAACTACAGATTAACCTCATAAGAACGATGTACCAGAAAGTCTATGGTATTTTTCTGTATTCATCTTAATGTTGCAATTACATTTATTGTATTAATGGAAATTTTTACTTGTATTGCATTTGAAGTGTGTTTTCTTACAGTCTCATGCCAAGCAAAATAATCTTTCTATTTAGTTGTTACGCATTTGTGTAAATTCCTAATGTAATTTAATAGATTAGGTAATGTTTATGTGAATAAGATATGTCTCCAAATACTGGATTATTGACTATATTTTCTGTGCGAATATAATATATCAGATTTATCGTTTCATATGTAGATGATGAAAACCCAATTTTATCGAATTGTCCAAATGACACGACGTTTTCACCAATGACGGGTTCAAATGATGTAATTGCTGTTTGGTCAGATCCAGTCGCAACCGACAATGTTGATACGAGTCTAAATGTGATTTCATCTCATACTTCGAATACAACGTTCTCAATAGGTTTTTATCCTGTAACGTATACTGTATCAGATCAATCTGGAAACTCAGCCACCTGCAGCTTTTTAATAACTATAGAAGGTTAGAGCTCAATCATTTCGACATAATCTGTAATTTAGGGCCATCTTGTCGATAATTATTTATCTCTATTTTCTCTATCCTAATTAAATGATAATGTTCATCTGCATAATAGATTTACGTGTTTCAATATAGATACAACGCCTCCAGAAATTACAAACTGTCCTTCCAACATTACTAAGTCCACTGATCCTGGCGAAAACTTTGCTATCGTGGATTGGAATGAGCCAACAGTTACAGATAATGCAGGAACGCCGATCGTTACTTCCACCTTTAACCCAAGTAAGTGTGTTGAACAAAATTTTATATTTCTGTGTTTTCATGGGCAGATTTACGAATCCGAATGTAGAATGGGCAGTGGACCGTAGTTTGGTTTTCAATTTGAATACAAAGATTATGTTGTTCACCTGTCAAAATATAGTAACTGTGGGCTATTGACTAGACCTACTATTTCTGTGTCATTTATTCAGGATATAAACACAGCTTTATTCACAAAATTGATATTGCTTTAGGTGGACAACATTAAGTTTTCCATCACTGAATAACCTGAAAAAAAAAAAAAAAAAAAAACCCTAACGGTTTTAATTACCTGCAACTATTCATAAACTCCCAATGACATACGCTTAATTATCTTCTTTTTTTTTTAATTTTTAGTGGACAGTTTCCAGTTTCTTTATGGAGGTCAAGTACCGGTGATTTACCAGGCCTTTGACCTTAGTGGAAACACAGACTCTTGTCTCTTTTATGTCACTATCATGGGTAACTTTTGCTTTTTATTTTATATAACATGTCCGACATCAGTTTTCTTCCGACCTCATATTTTGGTGTTATTAACATATTAAACATTTACATTATTTACTTGTATTATTTTAATATTATTTTACTAATAAATAATAACATAATACATAAATAATCACGCAAGTAAGAGTAGAATGTTTGATATCTCAATTACATATCCAAGCGTTGGAAATTTAAACAACATTATGATGTAATTAAACAAATATGATGTAGATGACATTTCTTTTTTCAGATAATGAAGACCCTGTAATTGCTAGCTGTCCAGCTAACCAATCCCTTGCTGCTTCTGCCACGGCCCCAACACAATTCGCAACATGGGATAATGTGGATGCTACTGACAATGTCATGATTATTTCACAGATCGCGTCTCCTTTGTCAGGATCAACTTTTGACATCGGTGTCACTGAAGTTGAAATATCAGTTTCAGATTTTTCATTCAACACAGCCACATGTTCATTTTATGTTGAGGTTTATGGTAAGAATACAGTACCATTAAGACATTTGCTACTCTGAACGACGAATTTTGTAGTATTTGCTAACCAATGGTATGCATAATTAAAAGTACAACCAATATTACTGTGAGACATTATTATTGTTTTCTTGACTAAGATCAAATTTACTTTTTAAAGTCTTTGTATCAGAAAGAAATAAAATAAACATAAATGATATATGTTTTGTACCTCTGTAGATGATACGGATCCTGTGTATATGTCATGTCCTGGGCCACTGTCTTTCAGCACCGACCTGGGATCGCCTACTGCAACAGCAACTTGGTCAAGTTTAGTTGTAACGGATAACGTAGGAGTAGTAATGCCTACCAACAGTCATGACTCCGGTGTACAGTTGATGCCGGGGGTGACAACTATTTACAACAACGCAACTGACGAAGCAGGCAATACTGCCGAATGTATATTTGAAGTGACCGTTACAGGTATTCTTTGTTCAACTATTTAATTGTATTTTGCATGTACTTTTCTCAGTATATTGTCTCTTTATTGTGTTAAGTCGATACCAATACATTGTTAACACATTATTATTGGTTTTGCGTAACTTTATTTATTTATTCTTTACAACAGATGACGAGGATCCTGAGTTTGCAATGTGTCCTAACCCTTTTACCCGCATTGCTTCATCAACTTCGACGATGACCACTGTGACTTGGGATATATCAAATGCAACAGATAATGTCGGTGTTATTATGGATTCTTCTACACACTCCTCTGGCGACGAATTTGAAGTTGGGACCTATGTCATTAGTTATGAAGCATCAGATGCTGCTGGCAACACTGCAACATGCGAGTTTACTTTAGTCATCCAAGGTATACATGGAATATTTATTACAAAACGTTATGTAAATATTATTTTCTAGTTAAAGCGTAGATGTAAAAGAATCTAAATCACGACGACAGGTGATTAGTACAAGCAAATATTTAATTTGATACACATTTTATATTAAAATAATTTAAAAAGCTTGACCATTTAAAAGAACCAAAACTAATAATACAATTTTAATTATATAATAACATTATCAAATAGTCCTATAACGATCTTTTACCTACATAGACGCCAGTGCCCCGACATTTGAAAATTGTTCAGAAAGTATGACACTAGAAACTGGTGCAGGCGTTGATGGAACAAACGTCAGCTGGATACATCCAACAGCTTTGGACAACTCTGGAAATGTAGTCTCTACTTCGATGACACCTGTTATCCAGTCTGGGTCGTATTTTACTATAGGTATCTATAACATAAATTTCACTGCAATAGACTCTGCTGGAAATAAAGGATACTGTTTGTTTACCATTGTCATTCAAGGTAAGACATATATTTTGATTAAATTAAAATACAATGGGTAAAAGTGTATTTTAAATAAATTAGTTTATAATTAATGTGCACGCCCTCAAACAAACTTCCACAATGACTATTATTGTCGACAGACATTTAATGAAGAGAACGATATTTATGGATGTACTGTATGTGTGTATGTATGTATGTGTGTATGCATGCACGTATGTATGTGTGTGTGTGTACATGGGTGTGTGTGTGTGTAAAAATAAAATACAAATGATGAAGGATGATTTACTCAAATTAGATGATATGGCACCAGTGATTACAAATAGTGGCGCCTAAAGACGAGACACATTAAAAATAGGAAAAAGAAGATTAATATCAATATAGAGTATTGGTATATATGGTGTATGGAAAGACAACATATACATATAATACAAATATTAATTATATGTTAAGCATACCAATAATGATCACAAAAAACATTGATTACAGATGTTGAAGATCCTATAATTACACAATGTGAAAATGATATAACAACCCTACCTGATAATGGAACGACGAACGCTGTTGTAAGTTTTACCCGGCCAACAGCGACTGATAATTCCAATTCTGTATCTGAAACTGCAACACATTTACCTAATGCCGTCTTTCCACCTGGGCTAACTACTGTCACTTATACATTCAGCGACCTGTCGGGAAATCAGAACATGTGTAGTTTCACTGTAAATGTTCAAGGTAAGATACATTTCAAATTGTGAAAATAATAATTTACGTTTTAACGTTCAAAATTCACTTGAATAATACATATAAACAATAACTTCAATATATAACATTCATATATTTATTAATAAATTTATATTTAGAAATTGACAATATAGTGTAAACGACGATTGTTGATTTATTCATATTTAGATGATATGGCACCAGTCATTACAAATTGTCCAGATAGTATATTAAACAACACTGAAATTGGTGAGGCTGATCGAGAAATAGGTTGGATTGAGCCTGAGATCACGGATAATGCTGGAGATCCTTTGGTCGAACGATCTCATATTCCCGGCACAAGATTCTCAATTGGAACAACATATGTGAATTATACCGCCACAGATTCATTTGGAAACCAGCAAGTCTGCTCATTCGTTGTTACTATAATAGGTAAAAACGGTTTCATTTTATAAGAGAGGGATACCTTATCTAAAACCAGAATGACATTGTAATTTGGAAGTTAATATGGTTAAGTTCTACTCCTGAAGTCCTGGGCGTAAGTCATGCGTGCGACTCCAGATTTTTTCATCACTAAAATAATCTTGAGTCTGAGCATCATAAAGATGTAATCACATTTACTTGCCATTACATTGAAAGGAATATATATATAAATAATTCCCTGGATGTTGAAAGTGCTCCTTCGGTTATTTACTTCAAGTCCCATCTTAAGACTTAACTCTTTCACCAACATTTTGATTAGTTTCCTTTTTTTTCTTACTTTTATTCTGACTTTTTCAGGAAAATGCGTTTTAATTGTTCTCCTTTCCATTTTCTCTATAATTTTCTGGAAAGCGCATAGTGGCGCTTGCATGTTTCACAATAGTAGATAGGCCTACATAGAAGGTAAGCAATACCTCTGTCTCTTATACACATCTAGATGTGTATAATCATAATACAGTATGTTGGTATTATTATTTTTCTACATTATTTGTTTTCCTTCGTTTCAGACGACGAGAATCCTGTCATAAGTAACTGCCCGTCCAATGAAGTTGCGTACACAGATGAAGATGAAACAACAGCTGTGGTAACTTGGAATTTGCCTACTGCAACTGATAACTCTGGACAACCAGGATTGAGTAGTACTTATCCATCTGGTTATGCTTTTCCAATTGGAGATTCGGTTGTAACATATATCGCTACTGATTCCTCGACAAATACTGTCCAATGTACTTTTACTATTCACGTAACAGGTAAGCTGTGAAGGAAATTTGTTAGGCTGGTTTTCATTAATGGTAAATGTATGTATGAATCCTAATTTTTTGGTAGATGAAATACCGATGAAGCATTGGTAATAAGTTAAATTTTTAAACTCTTATTTTGAAAAAAAATATACGGTATCATCTAAATTAACATTATTGATAAATCAAAGCATTATTAGACAGATAGGTTATAAAGATTACATTTACAAACATGTAAATTAACAACCAGATTTTAACTCAGGTGTGGGCAATAAAATGGGTTGAGTGGTTGAAAGGCCATACAGCTTTATGCTTACTTTTTATATTACAGTAATTTTTATCGATAATCGGTGCCGGGCCGTAAAATCTTGTGGTATTCTAGCTAAAAATGGTAGTCTGGTCGCACACATAAGGTTTCATTTTATTGCCGCCTGGTCGCAATTTGCTCTCCTGTGCCTTAAGTCGTACCGCTATTCGTAGAATACTTAACCAGAGTAGCCTAGTATTGACAGGCAAATTTTAAATTTAGTTATATTTATATTCTTTTCTTTGTTTTAAAACCAGGCTCAGAAGGGAAAAAATAGTTGATGTGTTGTTGTAGAACTTATTTTTCTAAGACACAATAAGTATATTATTTGACGAAATACTCGGAAGCAGTTAATGAGATACAGATTTTTCAATATTTAAAAACTGGGAAGAAAAAAGGAGTAATCGCCCCTTTTTTACTTTTTTCCCCAGTTTTTAAATATCAAAAAAATCTGTATCTCATTAACTACTTCCTGTCTTTAAATTGCACTCGGTTTTGGCGAAGCAAAATGTATATTTTTTCTGATTGTTTGATGACACAAATAAAGAAATCTTACTAGATTTCATTTTTTGAGTGTTGTTGAGTGACTAGGTATGGGTATTACAGTACTTGGAGACCTTTATAAGGCAGTGAAAGCATACAGTTAAGTTTAATATTTAAGTGATAAATAAATAATAAACTTGAATCCCAAACCTGAAAGATGGCGCATTGTAAAACAAATAAAATAATATTTCTTTTAGTTTTCGAATTATTATGACATGAATTTTATTTATTCATTATAAAATGTTTGAATGATGCTAATATATGCATATTGTTATCATTATTATTAAACTTTTTTTATATAATTGCACCATGTGGGTTGAATAAAGATTCAATTGATTATTGATATTGATTATTATTATTTTTATTATTTTATTATTTCAGATAATCAACCACCAGATGTAATAAATTGCCCAAACAATATTGACCAGACTACAGATCTACGCTCTCCGACTGCACAAGTAATGTGGGATGAGCCTACATTCGTGGACAACGTAGACGGAAATTTGACATCGACGCGTACTTTTCAATCAGGCTCAGATTTTATTGTTGGGGTTTTCACAAATACATATCAAGCAACTGACACAGAAGGAAATAGTGCTGATTGCGTTTTCACCATCACGGTTACAGGTAAAAATTTTTAAATCGTGACACGATTAAAGCAATTGATATATTTCATATATATATCATAGAAACAATGCCAACAAATATATATATTTTTTATTATTAATAAATGCTAGTAAACACTTGTTTATGTATCTAATACAGAGTACCTATACTATATATAAAAACGTAACCCCTGTTTTTATGAATTCAGATGAGGAATCACCAGTTTTCATGAATTGTCCAGCTGATTTTACTGAAACAGACTCCAACATAGCTTACTGGTCACCTCCTACGGCAGAGGATAACACAGTACTGGTCACAATTATGTCCGAATATAGTCCTGGATCTGCTTTCCCAACGGGAACAACCAATGTGAGATACACAGCGTATGATCAGTACGATAATGAGGAATTCTGTACATTTAATGTAAACATAGAAGGTAAGCAATACCTCTCTTACAAAAAAGGGCATATCTTACATACTTTATCGATCTATCAACTGCAAGTTGTATTTTGTATAAAGCAAATCATAAAGCTAGCTCTTATGTAGACAAATTTTATATATTTATTGGATTATAGTTCAAATTTGTATTATGGTTTGTTTTTTTTTGTCAAATATAAATTAAAGTCAATGTTTTCAATCATAATAGGGGTTGGTGCACCTGTGATTGGAACCTGTCCTGAAAGCATCACTGTGATTGCAGAAGAAGGTGAAACAACTGCTCAGCCAACATGGGATACACCTACAGCCGATGACGACGGAACGTCATTGACGCCTTCGTGCAACGTTCAATCAGGCGACACACTCTCTATTGGGTCAAGTACAGCAGTTCTGTGTGTATTTACTTCACCTTCAACTGGACTAGAATCTACTTGTCGTTTCACTGTCACAGTAGAAGGTATGGTCATAAAACAATCCCCAAACATTTAACAGAATTCAATTCAGTTAAATTCAATATTTTAATATTTATTCAACTGGTACATTAGGACAATGTTAAGCAAACCCTCGGAAAACATAGAGGACGAAGAACAAACGTAATAATAAAGATGATTATCATGATTATTACGATGATGATTGCTCATTTTAGAAATCATAGTGTAACACTACTTAAAAGTTAAATCTGTATGTATGTTGACAGCCTATCCCGATGAAATTGATCCAGAAATACAAAATTGTCCAGTAGACCAAAGTGTAGACACCGATATTGGAAGTTCCTCTGCAACAGTTACATGGACGCCGCCAACTGCTATTGATAATTCCAATGTCAATCCAACGTTGACGGCAACAATAGAACCAGGAACTGAATTTAATATTGGAACAACAACTGTCCAGTACATAGCAAGAGATTCCTCTGGAAATACGGCAATATGTAGCTTTATGGTAACAGTTATAGGTAGGTTGTGTAGATAACTTATAGGTTCCTTTATTGATATTCAAACATATCGATAAAATCAAATACAAAAACAGAACAAGCAAAATTTTTGCAACATTACGTCATATGTTGTGGGGGGATCTGGTGCAGCTGTAGGCATACAGCGCTGTACTTCTAACCAAAAGAGGTCCTGAATTCAAGTCCTATGCATGTGTCTATGAGCCAAGATTATTTATCTACTTTTGTCTTTCTTCTCCCAGAAGTCTACATTGATACAGGGTTTTTTTTTTTTTTTTCTGGCCGACACTTTGGTCAGTTTCTGTGCTCAGATCTTCTTCAAACGTTTTCCAATCAAAGACTATATATATGAAAGATGTGCATACCAAAATATGACTCCATTTCAAATATTTTGAATATTAATTAGTGGGTAATTACACGTTTTTGTTAGTTAACAAAATTTGCATTTCCTAAAGCGTTAGACACAAATTTACCATGAAATGCATGAACAATTTACACCCTCTACCTATAACATTACACAAGGTAGACAAACTAAAAATGCATTGACCCCCGCAAGGTCAGGTCCCTTCCAACGTCAACATCGCTATTACCACTGCTCATTGTTCGAGTCTCACTAACGTTGAGGTGATTTTTATGGTAATTTTTTTTACTTATAATTTTTAATATATTTTAGTTTTTCTTTTATGTTTTACTTTATACTTTTTAAATATATTTTTTTAATTTTTGTGTTTTTAGCATTACGTCACATTATGACAATAACGAAAAGCCCTATGTTCTGTTTTACAAACAGGCATAGTGTTGTTATTATTATTATCATTATCATTATTTCATTATTATTATTATTATTATTATTATTATTATTATTATTATTACTATTATTATTATTATTGTCGTTGTTAAAATTGCTGTTTTTACTGACACTGTTGTTAGTGTTCCTATTAAATCTAAGTACCATCTTGTCAGACAAATTTCATCCATTTTACTACCTTTATGTATTCATGCTCTCCGGTCTCACATGTTTTTATATTTTGTACGCCAAGTGAATCATGAATGTCCAGTATGTTATGATGGACAATAAAGTCATCATATTCACTATTTATAATAATGTTACTGTTACAATTATTGTTATTTGTTATAGTTTTTATAATCATTATCATCATCATGGTCATATATATGTCAATTTGTTTCAACTAATATAATTATACTATTCTTACAGGAATTATCGATATGGTTGACCCGGAGATAACTTGTCCTTCCGATATTACCGAGTTCGTCAACGATGGGACAGACACTTATTCAGTTTCTTGGACCGTGCCGACACCAACCGATGATTCAGGAACTGTATCAATTTCATCAAACTTGTTACCAGGTGCATCATTCACTGTTGGAACCACAACACAAGTAACATACACTGCGACTGATGGTAGTGGAAACACAGCTCAGTGCTCATTCTCTGTTACCGTTACAGGTAATGAACCATAGTCTCTTTCCAATAAAGACCACTTTTCTGTGCCCCAGATGAACAATTACACATCTTTCAAATCCCAATTTTGGCACCTTTTTTAAACCAGCAGATCCTCTTTACTTTAATGTTTGAATTTTATTTATGCAGAAGACTTTGTATAACATTACCGCAAGTTTAGGTTTTATCTCTAATTTACTACGATTTACATATACATCAAGATATACATATAGATATGCATCAAGGTTTTAAGGTTATTTTTAATCAATCAATAAAGGTGAAGACGTACTTAAAGAACGTTTCGGGACCTGTCAGGTCTCATTCTCAACTGGCTAATGAAAACTGGCTAGTGAAACGCCAGTTGAGAATGAGACCTGACAGGTCTCAAAACGTCCTGTAAGTACTTTGTCACCTTTATTGGTTGATTACAAATAACCTTAAAACCTACTACTACAAACCTACTACTACAAACAAACAATCAGATAAATTTATTTAAATAATATGCATCTAATTTATAGTTATGTATTTGTTTTAGATAACGAGGATCCAGTATTTGACTCTGCTCCAGTAAGTCCAGTCACTGCCAGTGTATATGGACAGACATCAACGACTGTAAGTTGGACGGAACCAGTGGTGACAGATAACTCGGGAGAAGACCCTACCATTACACTTACAGGTGGAACTAATGGTGGTACCTTCAACGTTGGAACAACGTCACTTATTTATACAGCTACGGACGGTAGCAACAACCAGGCTACTTATTCATTTGATGTTGTAGTGACTGGTATGAACATTAGTAACTTTAGATTTACTGTTGACCAATTGAAAATATGTGATTAAGAAACTATAAATAATGAATATTTATTACTGATATGATAATAATAATAATAATAATAATAATAATTATTATTATTCCTTTCCTATAATTAAACAATATAAAATTGAACATAAAAATAACATCAAAACGGTGATGCAGAAAGTATAACTATTAAAATGAAAGTGATGAGATGAACCCGTATAGTAACTTTCGGTATAGTTTGCAAAAATTGTTGGTAGATATTTCATATTTCCTGCTAAGTAACAACAATGGATAGCCTAAAATATAATGTATTTTTAAGTCATCGTTTGCATCAATAGAATTATTTATTATATAATTCTCTGTTGTCTTGTAATTCTACTTGCAATTTAGAAATGTTGTCAGTGCGTATATGTTTAGTGCAAACTAAGACGAAATGGTTAATATTCTCGTCTGAATTTAAATTGCATAGTGTACATTTTCCATTATTATTTGTGGATCAACCTGATGCTAAAAAATTTAGTGTTATCGTATTTGATCTAGTATAAATTGTAATGATATGATAACGATTATTATATTTTTATATATATTATACCTTTTACAGTCTCAATAAAAATCGATTAGATATCATACTATAATCAAATACATTAGTAGACTATGTAAACAAAGCTGGTGATTTTGATATTACATCTTCTGCCTTAATATTAGCCGGGGTCTTAAAATCGGGTGCACATCTGTAACACACAGCAACCGACTCATTCGGCCAAACTCTCAGCTAAAGGGTAGGTCTAAGTGTGGATGTATAAGTTATCTTTGGTTATGGAATATTTTAATCATTTTAATTTATTTTTCTTTCCTTTAAAAGTTGTGGAAGATGTTGAGCCACCCGTTTTCACCAATTGTCCATCAGGAGGTGTAACAGGCGTGAATACACCAGGTGAAAACATGGGGGTAGCGTCGTGGGATGCCCTTATGGCAACTGATGATCTAGCCACAGATGTTACAATTACGCCAGATCTGACGTCGGGATCATTTCCTCTGGGAGAATCGGCAATGATAGTCAGTGCATCGGATGGTGTAAATACGGCAGTATGCAATTTTACAGTGACAATTACAGGTGACATCTTCAAGTCTAATTTGTTTATGAGTTAAGTTGTCAATAAATGTTGGGTATCACAGTCCGCTAATACCATTTTCCTTGATTAAGATAGAGACATCCTTTTATTCTTAGTAGGTCTTTGTTTGTATGTTAAATGTGCAAACAGAATGTGACTCTTGGATGAAGTTTGGAAGTCGAGTGACCAGTACATTCGGATAATCTACTCACCTCGAAAGATGAACTGGGTTCCTTTAAGGCGCACAAGAGCCAATTTTGAACACTAGACATACATTTTACTTATCCGAGAAGACTTGTTCAACCACCAGAGCCATAGGCGACTGTGTCGCTCGAACCAGCGCCAATATTGTGGCTCTATAGATACAGGACCTAATAATTACTAAAACAAACTCACTGCCATGATTCAACAAAAATAAAACATTGTTTATTTTATATTTTAGAGGGTATTTGCTAGTTTGTAATTTGTATTGTATTGTCTTAAGAAATATTTTGTCTTTTCAGACAACGAGGACCCTGTTAGCGTCTCATGTCCGGAAAATCAAAACTTTTACGTACTAGATTCTAACTCGGTTGCGCTCATCATATGGAGCGATCCAATGTTCACTGATAACAGTGGCGACTTAACATTGACATCCAATGTTGAATCTGGAGTACGCAGAGGTCCCGGTATGCTGTCTGTTGAATACACAGCATCGGACCCATCTGGAAATGATGCGACTTGCACTTTCACTGTTAATATTGAAGTCGCTTCTGGTATGTTATAGGCCTATTGCTATTTTTTTGCATTTCAGTTATCTAACACTGGAGGACAATAAAGTTAGCATTTCTGACACAGCTATAATTTTGTTCTCTAGTATTGATAATAGTGGTTGATATTATAATGGTGCTGGCCATAAGTATCTATAGGTGATGATGATGATGATGTAGATGATTATGTAGATGATGATGATGTAGATGATGATGATGATGTAGATGATATTTGAGCAAAATGATTGTATTAAGTACTATTTTGTTTATTTTATGATGGTAGATATTCATGATCATAAATTGGCAAATACCTTATTAATGGAATGTTTCAGATCCTGCTTCTTTCGATGGTGAAGCGGTTTTCGTCTCCATAGGTGGTACTTCTTCTAGTGAATTTCCTAATGTTGATCTTGCTGCTCTTCAACAAGATGTAAGTATGGTTACAAAACAATATAACTTGAAACCAGGTCCTACTGTAAAAGCTAAAAATCTACCTAAATTATGCAAAATAACCAATGCCTATAAATTTAGGCCAACGTATTACACAGATTTTACTTAATGTAAAATATAAATTAATATGGCAGCACAGCTAGAGGCATCAGATAACACCTGAACTTAGGCACCAGGCTCTTTCATGGTAAAACACTTAAATTTCTGATTGGTTTACAAAGCATAAATAAGTAAATGTAAATTTAATTGTTTTCCCTTAGCTTGACGATCTATTCAGGGGAAGTGATATTGCAAGCAGCTTTGTAGGTCTTGACAGTGTAATGTTCGATACTCAAGATGGCACAAAGACAGATTTTACTGTCTATGTTACCTCCGGAGTAACTGCGTCAGATATTGAAAATGCATTTTACAACGCTCTAGACGACAGCATGACTTTCAGTACTATGAACACAATCTCAGCAGAAACATTCTTGATAGGTAAGCTTCCGTTTTCATTTGCCTGTAAGTCGTTCTTTCAGGAAAAACTGAATGCATTCGTCTTCGCATAGTGTAGGCTTCATAGCTATGTAATAATACATGCAGTACTGAGATATTTGGTAGAAAGCATAAAACGTTTTCTTTGCAAGAATAGTAGATGTTTTTATTGTGAATCAATAAATATTTCTTCATGATAATTTACCGTTATTTTTCTTAGGTCTGGGTGATTGTAGTTCCTCACCTTGCCAAAATAGTGGTACATGTACCCGTTTACTTTCATCCTACACTTGCACTTGTGCGTCAGGTTATCAAGGAAACAACTGTCAAACAGGTATGATTTGAAGCCTGGTCTTCATAAAATTCATACACACAATCGCTGAGTTTTGGCTACTCTGATTGGTCGGTCAAATCGAGAAGCCTTCCAGGTTGTGTCAGGGACTGTACGAAAAACTGTTGCGACATTGTAGCGCTTTTATGGAAATCATGAAATAAGATTGTTAATATTCTGTTGTTCAAACGTTTACCAGGGAAAAATGTTCAAAAACTTGTTCTAACAGACTTCTCCAAAGCATTTGAGAACATCGACCATTCTTTAGCAATCCAGCGATTCTATGAGTTAGGTGTCAGAAGCGAGTTATTGCAACGTGGATCATTAACTTCCTTAAAGCTAGTCATCAGCGGGTGCAATATCACTCTGCATGTCAAAACAGGACACTCTCATGCAGTGTTCCTCAGGGCATCAAGTTTGGCCTCATTATTAAGACAGTTATCAACAATGCTTCAGAAAAACGATCTCAGTCCTGCAAATTCACCCAGCAGACTGAGATTGATGTCCATGACATGGTTAGGTCGTAACATATGCTAAGGATAGTCACCTCAAACTGAATCCGTATAAGTGCAAAGTTATGCAGATCTGCTTTATGGAAAAAATTGCTTAACCCACTTAGTCTTCAGGTGGATTTCAAATCGTAGTGAATAATGAAAAATAATGATGATATTAAAAGATATTTTAATTATGAATTTTAATTGTGTTCTGTATGTATATATTTATGTTATCGTTTACATTTTTGAATTTATATATTTGGTGTATTCATTTGTCATTTTCTACCATATAATTCAGCAGTTTTGCTGTTTTTTGGTGTTAAATAAATCTTCTCTTATTAAATCCTGTCTCTTATACACATCTAGATGTGTATAAGAGACAGTATATATATATATATATATATATATTATCATTATATGAACTTGTTGCAAGATAGCAATAATGAATGTATATATTCAAAGTATATAATGTGTGTTTTGTCTTATTATTCGTGGTCTATTGTTTGACTAATTTATTCCATATTTACTCGTATAGATATCAACGAATGTAGTGATAGTAGCATTTGCTCAGGTGGTGCAATATGCACAAACTTTGCTGGTGGATACAACTGTGATTGTGAATATGGTTTTTCGAAAGTTGGATCATCTGACACATGCACAAGTAAGATGATACATACGATAAAATTCAGGGACTTGTGTTTACAACTGTATAATTTAAACAAAAAAGATAAAATGATTGTCTGGAAAGCAGAAATTCCTTCCTACCGGTACTTGTTAAGCTAATAAAGTAGGATAGAATGTAAAATTTGAATGACTTTATATTTACTATATTTATATAATAAGACATTCTATCTGCTTCGCGTCATGTGCCGCATAAGGCCTTCACAGAATGCCTCCATCTAGCCCCATATCGCCGTTGGCTGCTGCTCCTGCTGTTCCCACAATATCCATCCCGCCTTGGTTCTCTTATTTTCTACCATTCGTCTATATGTCGTATTAGATCTTTCCCGTTTCCTTCTTCCTTCCGGTGATGTACATGTCAGTGTGACCATTTAGCGTTTAAAAAATCTAATGAGGAAATAACACTTGCAAATCAGACGCGTTAGTAATACAGTTTATACAGTATATGTGATATTAGATATGTGATGTTGTAATTGAATTGTTGGGGTTTTTTTTCCAACATAAGCAAAGATACATTTTTTTTTTCAATGTTTTAATATTTTTTCAGGACAACTGATTTTTAATGGTGCGTTTACATTGTTGGAATATGATGGGGATCTAGCAACTTTCGAAGACGATCTAAATGATCTATCTTCAGCCTTGTATATGTACCTTACGAACAAGATAATAGAAGCGGTGAGTGTCATTGTGGATTCTATGTATCGAGCCTACTAGAGTCTGTACCACTATGCCTAGTAGTAAAAGTTAGTAGTGGTTGTGTGTACCATATATTTTTAATTGTTGCTTGTTCGAGAACGCAACTTGGACCAATGTTTGACACTGCTATAAAGGTGTACATTAAATCATAGTAGCTAGAAGTCGTAGCGTTGTTGTAAATTGTTCTGACTTTCATAAATTGTATTTTACAGTTGGGACCGCTCTTTGATGGAATTAATGGATTTTTAGGTGTTCAAATTGCTTCACTTGAATCGGGAAGTATCATAGTTGAATATGCCGTGCTCTTTGAAATTGATTCATCAGCTGATGGGCCAATGTTAGACACCATGTTCTTACAAAATGTCAACGGCAGTGGATTCATCGCTAACTCTAGCCTCGTTTTAGACTTATCGTCCATACAATCCTTTTCAGGTAGATATTTACCACAACCCTGAGAGAGGCCTACATTATGTAAATTGATTCATGTAGTTTGATGAGTAGGCTTGAAAGAAATTTTTAAAAAGAAACATTATTCAGACAGAAATAACTACACTTTATTCTTTATGTCGTGTTTCTTGCAGAGGTATGTCCTGATGATTATTGCAAAAATGGAGGAACTTGTACAACCAGTTCAGTGACATTTGAAAGCGAGTGCAGGTAAATTTACATCAGAATTATGAACATGGCTTAATTATTAGCTTGATGACAAAATAAAATTATTGTACAAGAATTTCTTAAAATAATATGAAAATATTTGTCTAATCAACAGCTGTACAGATGGTTGGAAGGGTACAACGTGTGAAGAGAAATCTGGACTAGAAACTTGGGAAATCGTTGCTATTTGCTCAGCAAGTGCCTTGATTCTCCTGATAATTCTTATAGCAACTGCTGCCTGCTGCTGTTGTTTCCTTGGAGGAAGTCGGTATAATAATCATTATATGTATGATGAAGAGTTCCACGTCCGAGACCGATATAATCAACCAAGAAAAGATAGGCTGTACGATAACTATTACAACGAAAATTTCCATCCTGAGCCTTCTCCAAGATTCAACCAAGATTTCGACGAGAACATTTATGATAATCGTGGCTCTAGATTCTACCAACATGGGAGTCCAGAGAGACACTTTTCCCGACCATTTATTGTGTCTGGTGATGAACTTTCAGTAAGTTTATTTTCCAAAGTGACTTGCAAATTATAGGGTATGTCCCATTATGAGGCTTAACTTTGAATGGAGTTGAACCACAGACAATTGGATTGTAGTACAAACACTTTTAGTTAATTGAGAAAATAGCATGTATGAGCTTGTACGCCTAAGTAAGCAAAATGTAGATATAAAAAGAAAGCCTACTGTTATATTGTGGTTGTTTTTGGTGAAATATTTGTATCAATATTGTTTTTTATTATTATTATGTTGTAGTATAAATAATCACTAATAATAATTATTATTTATAGGTGTAATTTTGCCCTACCTGACGTGGAAATGTACTGAATACTCAGTACGTGTGAAAACAATTGCGAAAAAAATCGTAATGTTGTTCTCGGGTGGGACTCAAACCCACAATCTCAAGATCATTAGCCTGGCATCATACCTCTAGACCACCGAGCTTGCGCCTGATGGCCAGGGTTGAATTTGAGTCCAAGTAAGCAGCGGGTACTGCAGTGTTGATAGTAACTGTTATTGTCGTGATGGAATAGACAATAACTGGATTTGCGTCGAGGGAATCAAGTATAGGTGTAATTTTGTCCTACCTGACGTGGAAATGTACTGAATATTCAGTACGTGTGTTGTATACAGCACTTTGATTTCTTCAAAAATGCTTTATAAATACTGCTGTTTTTATTATTATCGTTGTTTTTTTTCCTGTTGTTATTATCATTAGCATTTTATTATCAACAACAACAATAACATTATCACCATCATCATCTAAACCATGCAATCTCAAACACTTCATATTAATTTATTTTCGTATCATTACCACAGGATCCACGATACTCACCACAATTATGAGATCGCTGCATGTTTAAGAAAGGTACGTCAGAAAATTTCTAACAGTTAATCAATTTACCAATGTTTTTTTACCTTTAACTCTAATTATCATTAGTGTTTCTATATTACAATTTTTATTATCTGGCATTATTAACATCACCAGCGTCGTTAACATCCTATTGTGTATGGTCCCTTAGACATGCTATTTAATTTGTGATTCTAAGAAATTTAATTTTTCATATGAACAGTTGTTGAATAAATAATAGATGAGTAGTTGATTGGTATTCTGTTATAAATTTATCGTGTTGTGCTTAATTTAAACTTCTTTTGTCATTCCAGTTTTCATTTCGGATAAAATTTGTATGCAACTTACTGTTACCAGATATGTCATCACTGTGCTACTGGAGCGACCATGCTTTTTTACCTTCTTTAACTCTAATTATCATTAGTGTTTCTATATTACAATTTTTATTATCTGGCATCATTTACATCACCAGTGTCGTTAACATCCTATTGTGTATGGTCCCTTAGAAGATAATCTTTATCATCTAATAATAATAATGATCATTCAATCATTACACCTAGATAGTAATTTAATTTCAAATATTTTCGTTTTTTGAAAGTTTATTATTTATGTAAAATGTATAACTCCCATGTATAATCAGTGGCGTATCTGGGGGGGGGGGGTTTGCATGCCCCTCCAAATATTACTTGCATCCTCCAAATATTATTTGCATCCCCCCAGTCGCTCCCAAAACTTGCAAAGTACAGTAGTTACAAAAATCACCTTATTTTGCAAGTTAGGACCCCTCAACTGATCATCGAGCCCCTCCCCCCCTTCACCTTTGCGCCCCCATCAGCCCATTTGAAGATTTCTAGATACGCCACTGTGTATAATTTCAATGAATAAAAGGTAAATCAACTATGCTAATTACATAACAAAGAACGGGCATTAATACATGATATATACCACTATTGTAATGGAATTTCTAGAGTGTCGAACAAACTTAAAATACTGACTTATCATAACAAGTCAGGAATACTCACAAGCACATGTTGTCCCACAAATGCATGTGTTTGCATATGTTTAAAACTGTCATTTTGTGGACCTTAGCAACAATATCCAAGGGGTGGGGCTTAGCAGATCCATTGCACATTGAAAGAATAATTATATTCACAAATATTTTTAAAAATCCAACAAACTATTCATATTTTCTTGTGTATGTTTTTGTAATAGGCAATTCATGATAAAGAATTCCATGCGTAAAAATGATGATTCTTCCTTGAGCATAAATGTCAAATTTTGTTATTATCTAATGGCTGGAGATATTTGAATCATTGTATTTTTAAGTAGTGTGAATCAATAATTAGCAAGGTACGGGTATATTTAATAGTACAGTTTTTAAAAAAAAAACAGTACTATAGGAAACTTTTCAAAGGAATGAATTGTCTAATAATAATTTTAAAAATAACATATCAGTAATTTTTTATGGTAAATAGTATTTATAAGCTACTGGGTTCAACAGTTTATATAGTATTACTTAGATAGGCCCATCTTATTTAATTAGTCATCAGTCATATAAGCCTACCTCTCCTCTCCAACCCTCCACAACCATTTAGAGCTATATATAGGCCTACTAGTAAGTTAAATAGTATATTTATGTTTCATCATGTTTTATACTGTAATAATAATATACAGTAAACACAATACTGAGGGCGGTAGGCAGGTCCTACATAAGAGATCACATAATGTACTGTAACTTATTATTATAAATGTAACTTCAATTTTTGAAAATATTGCACTTACAGACTTTGTAATTAAACCAAATATTTGTGCTCAATCGTGGTTCGTTTTAAAACAATTAAACCTATTTATGCACAATAACTGACCAGCAAAAATTTAATTACAAAAGGGCCTTATAATAAAATAATTTGAAATTTATTCAAGGGTAATTATACATAGATGGAAGACCAATCAGAAATTATATAGTTTATGTTTGTAACTTAATAATTAACTAAAACATTTTTTTATCGGTTTGCCGAAACATCTCTAACGTAATATTTCTGCAGATAATTGAGAAAGTAAAAATCAAAATTTCCCAATAAAAACTAGGGAAATTAATAAAATACTTCAAAAAGCTAAAAACTGGAACGAAAGTAGCGTAATTAGTATCTAGTTATGCCTGCGCATATTGCATTATGTTCTGTATCTGATATGTAAATGTAAACTACAATACAAGGCCAAACAATAAAATTAAAATATCTGTTATAGCACTACGAATGCGGTATAGTAGAGTAACATATTGTCTAATGAAAAAACAATTTAATTTTTCAAGTTTTCAAGTTATATTTATACAGTATATGAAAATTGGTAATGGATATTTTTATGCCAAAAAGTTTATTTTTATACATATTTGATGTAAATCTTGTAAGATATTAGGATAAATATACGTAAGACAGTTTAGTCCTTTAAATTATTCATATGGTTTCCTTAATATTTTTGGAATAAACATTTAGCAAGCAAATATTGTAGTTTTCACATGTTTTCAGCTTGGCTTCATTAAATTCACAAACACATAGCACTTACTTAGAGCTGCATCCCTGGACTGCTGTCAACAAACTGCGACTTTCAAATTTTGAACCACAAAATATATTTTAATTGATTAAAACGGTGTTTTCTGATTTCTTGCTAAACAAACCCGACCTCGATATTTTGATTCCCAAGTTACCCCCAACTGCTGATGATAGAGTAAAGAGGGCGTTCATTCTAGCTGAGAAATGCATGTTCATTGCTCCAAGATTGTGAAGTTCAGACTAATGGGATTTTTCTGAAGTAAAGAAATATTGATTTCTTGTTTTGATTCGCATTTAATAGGCCTAAATTTTCCATTATATTGTTAAAGTAGCATATAAAATCACGCAATTTATAGAAAAAAAAAATCTATACCATAATTATGATGAGTTAATGTTTTACTCTATTTCCACAATGGACTTTTAATAGGCCTATATTAGATTATAATATCATAGGTCCATGCAAAAATGCCATTGGGAGTTACAGTGATGATGTCATGATTGACTTATGATCATTCATATTCATTGCTTTGAGATTGCAAGGTCAGACTGATAGAAATTTTCTGAAGTAAAAAAATATTGATATATTTTTTGCATTATTAGTCATAAATGTTCCATTATTTAAAAAAAAAAAGTAGCAAATGAAAACTTTATAATTATAATGGGTTAATGTTTACCTCTTGCACAATGGACCTATAATAATACTATACTATATAATGTTACTATACAGTGAGGTCGTCACGATTGACTTATGTAACAATTTTATAAGTCCATGCTGATGCAATTTGCATTGGTTCAATTACTGTTTTGCTAATTCGTGTTGGTATAAAATTACCATTTTGCAATATTTTATTTAAGAAATGTAGAAAATAAAAAGGCCTTATTACATTGGTCCAAAAAGGATGGTGCTATGATAAAATTTTTACTTTGTAATTTGGGGCCAGAAAACCAAAAAAAAAAACATTTTTTATTCACTCAAATTAGTATATTCAGTCATCCATAATCTTTATTCATCCAAATCATATTTACAATTATAAATTATTATTATGGATAAATAAGAAGCAAGAAAAAGCAATTTCATGCTAATTGGACCCACCTCCTTATATCATCATAACGATATTGATTAATAATATATGAAATTATACGTACAGTCACACAATAACAAAAAAATATGATTTGTAGTAAAAAAAGCAAAAAAAGAATAAATCAAGTTCACAATTTACGTATTCTTTTAAACTTCTTAAAAAATTTATTATGGATAAATAAGAAGCAAGAAAAAGCAATTTCATGCCAATTGGACCCACCTTCTTATAATATCAAAACGATATTGATTAATAATATATGAAATTATACGTACAGTCACACAATAACAAAAAAATATGATTTGTAGTAAAAAAAGCAAAAAAAGAATAAATCAAGTTCACAATTTACGTATTCTTTTAAACTTCTTAAAAAATTTATTATGGATAAATAAGAAGCAAGAAAAAGCAATTTCATGCCAATTGGACCCACCTCCTTATAATATCAAAACGATATTGATTAATAATATATGAAATTATACGTACAGTCACACAATAACAAAAAAATATGATTTGTAGTAAAAAAAAGCAAAAAAAGAATAAACCAAGTTCACAATTTACGTATTCTTTTAAACGAGTAATTTAAATGTCCTATTTATAATGGTTTTTAGATATACTGTATTTATTCAAATAGACTCCCTGCTTCGAATAAATTTCCCATCGAATAAACTCCCCTTCTAAAGCTTCATTTAGAATAAACGCCCCTTTCCACCCGCAAATGACTAAACAAATCTAATAAAAGCAGCATAATTCTCAACAAATTATATTAAAGTTCTATTGCAGTAATAGTAGACTTTTCTTCTAACCTTGTTAAGATCAAGTTTTTATGATCACACATGTTGTCTGTAATTATGTGCATTTCCACATTTACAGTGAAATTAAGTGGCATTTATTTGTATACGTATCCATTTTAAACAAAAAAAATAAACGGCCTCTCAAAAACCCTTCAAAAATAAAATCAATGACAGTATAAAAAAAATTTTCTTCCTATGATTTGTTAATATCGTCCATCAGCCAGGGCCACATGACTTGCGCCATTTCCATACTAGAAGTCAAACAGAACGCGTGCTCCATACCCTCCTTACACAGTCGTATATCTTCATCAGGGAAAGATTTCTTAATATCTTCGTAGTAATTAACTGGACACCAGCCATCTGAAGATCCGTAATATAGGCAGAGTTTTGAGGCATGTCGTTCTAAAAGTTGATAATCGCACTCTTTTACTTGACGCATTTCATGAGCTGCCATATAGAAAGCATTTGCAGCGACCATTGGGTCAAAGAGATTCAAAACACCTTGAACAGTACATCCAGGTATCTGAAACAAAGTCAGTATTTTGAAGTTTATAAATGTGGTATGGAAAAAAAATGTATAATCACAACTGTGTTCTCCCCTTTAAATGAATCTTGTATGATAGGACATAATTATGCAGAATATATGTAGCACATATTGCAATAAACTGCATCTATGCACTTTACATTCTTTTGGATCAAACACATTCTCAGCTTCCTAATTAAAATTAGTGCTTTGTGTTTGGTACCCACACAATGGGTGGGGAGAGACAAAGTATCTTGCCTAAGAACCAATGTGAAGTGCACAGCTAGAGACTAGAAATGCCAACCTCAAAGTCATAAGCATGACTGCTGCAGCAATCCTTGCCCACAGTGCGAGTATAATCACACCCTGCTGGTGATTAATGATTAACCGACAACCAAAAAAAAAAAAATAATATCATTTAGCTTTGCCTATGTTTGCAAATATTACATCATGGTCACAGTTGTGGCCATCATTCGCAGCGTCCACCACCACCACCATTGCTTATCGGGGAAATATTGGTTGACCGATTCAACAGGTTATCAACTTACATTTCTGTTGCGAAAATGCCATTGAATCAGTCTTTTTTGGATGCTCTCAGGTAAGAATGATGCAAAGTAGATTGGTATAATTGCTAACCATCTCAGATACATCAATATCGGTCCCAGTAACATACCATTAGGGGATGCTAACATTCTTTCAATTGTTGGAAACAATAGATAAGATTTAATAACATTCATTTCTGGTAACTCATCGATCATCTTCAAAATAATGTAGCAACCTGAGAAGAAATATTAGGGTTAATAATAATAATAATAATAATGTGATTTCTTATGCACATGTACCCAATCATGCATGATTTATTGGAAGAAATGCAGATAAGAGTAAACTTAAAAGCAAGTTGGGAAGTTATTTTTTCATTAGAGCATATGAACAGTAATTTGAATGAACTAGGTACTCATTCATACCATAGAGGTATGGATGGAAAAGTAATGTCAATTATTCAGTGATTATTTCTTTAACCTGTGGGTGTTTTTCATTTAGCAGATCCTGGACTATTTTTCTGGGGGAGGGGGAAGAGTGGGGAGGAATGACAATCTAATAGGCCAGCAGATTAGAGGCTATTTTGGGGTGAAGGTGGCAATGGAAGTACTACCGGCTAATTTTGATATTTTCTGAAAATATAGGTCTTGAGAAGTTCAGAACTCAAAATTACCCAAAATCCCTTTGGGGGAACACCTCCAAATTACGCATTCAAAATGGCCACCATTTTTCCCGCTTCAAATTATAGTTTTAGCTAAATAATATAAAAAAATAACAATACTTGAATAATAATCATCAACAATTGGTGAAACTTACTCAAAATATTCGTTAATTATCGAAAATGAATCTTGCATTTAGAAAAACTACAATTTCAATCACCATAGCAACCGTTGCTATGCAAATTTAAATTTCCTATTTTATTCATGAATTTAAGTATACAGGAAGCCTAAAGTTTATTAAAATCTTTATTTTCATAGGTTTTATGAATATGTTTAACATCTGAATTATCTATTATTATCATAGAATAGGATTATGCAAAAAAATGCTGAAAATTTGATATAATTGCATAGCAACACTCTTTTCATCGTCCATAGCAACGAAGCAAAATCAGTAGAATTGCTGTACATTTGTCATTGACTAAGCAAAAATCATGAGATACAACATTTTTATATAATAAACATCTCTTATTGAACAAAGTTAACACATTGATGTATAAAATACAAGGTCATCACCATAGCAACTGTTGCTATGCAAATTTAAATTTCCTATTTTATTAATGAAATTTAAGTATACAGGAAGCCTAAGGTTTATTAAAATCTTTATTTTCATAGGTTTTATGAATATGTTTAACATCTGAATTATCTATTATTATCATAGAATAGGATTATGTAAAAAAATGCTAAAACTTTGATATAATTGCATAGCATCACTCTTTTTATCGTCCATAGCAACGGAGCAAAATCAGCAGAATTGCTGTACATTTGTCATTGAATAAGCAAAAATCATGAGATACAACATTTTTATATAATAAACATCTCTTATTGAACAAAGTTAACACATTGATGTATAAATTACAAGGTCATCACCATAGCAACTGTTGCTATGCAAATTCAAATTTCCTATTTTATTAATGAAATGTAAGTATAAGGGATGCTTAAAGCTTATTGAAATCATCATTGTCATAGGTTTATGAATATTTTTGTATTTAGGTTATGTATTATGGAAGAGCAATATTAAAAAAGAAAAACAATCAAGAAACACCTTTACTGAAGTGCTACGGAACTTTTATAACTCCCTAGCAACGAATGGAATTCACATAATTGCTGTTATTATTTTTCTAAGAAAATATTATTAGATTGGCTTAAACAATATTTTTTATACGATAAACAGCTTTTATAGAAAAGTGAATTTAATGGTGTAATAAAATACAAGGTCATCACTATAGCAACCATTGCTATGCAAATTAAAATTTTCTAATTTTTCATAAAATATATAATGAAGACCTAAATTTTAGTAATAAATTTATGAAAAATGCTTGAAATGAATGAAATTTTATTGTCTTTTCAAATAGTAGTTGGTCTATCAATCCTTTTAATTAAGGTTTTGTAAATTTCATTAATAATATATATAAAATAATATTATATAGGCCTAATATAGAAATTTGTGCTAAAGGAAAATGTTTATTCACAATAACCATGCAAAGTCAACAAAATTATCTTTTCTCATTTCTCATAAATCAAGAAAAACATTTAACTTTTATATAATAAGCAGACGGCTAGTGCTCATTTGTCTCTTATACACATCTAGATGTGTATAAGAAGTGAAGTTGTAGTCGGGGAACCCATATCAAGGATAACCCTATGATAAATAATTCATTGAGATCGTGGAAGCAATCTCGACTTCGACTTTGTTCTGAAATCTGTGACTCATTCAAGGGCGGGGGATCAATTTTTTTTTTAAATGGAGATATAAGGAAAATTATATTCAAATTTAAGTTTGAGAGTGAAATTTCCCGCCATCTAGAGGTGCAATAATCACAAATTTTCTCACCTTAGCCCCAACCATGGTGGGGCTGAGGTAGTATAGAGCTTCTATCTGTGAAAGTACCCTTCTATTTCGAATTACTGGATCCGCCACTGGAAATTACAACAAATATGTCATATTACAGTAGCTTGATGCCTATAAAATGACTTATAAAATTCACCAAACGTAAAATAAAAATTGGTAAGATATCCGTAGACCCCCACCGGGGCTCTAGACAGCCCCCTGGCCCCCAGCCTAGATGCTTGCTTCGCTCGTATATTGGACCTCATGAAATGCCCCCCACCCACTTCAAAAACGTTCCGCCGCCGTTGTGTGGTACTAGAATTCGTCCTTATACAAGTGATAAGATAATAATGCCAGGGTGAACATACTGGACGTAGGTTATTTTTAGTAAATTATCTTATGAATTATAGCCTGGGATATACATCTTGTATGATATTACATACAAAACCTGTGCATGTTATATGAAAATACTGTATGATAAAATTAGTTATTCCCATGTTTTAACCCATCTGTGAACAAATTGCTTTCGATAGCTTGTCTATACAACTATCTACGTAACACCTTTCAATTTATTACAACCCAAATACTCGTGAAATAATCAGGGTAACCAATTGAAGTTGTGGGTATACTAGGGCATTGGCAAAAACAATGGATTTTGCTGTGGGGGTGGCGGAGAATGGGGTGCTGAATCGATACTAATCACTGACTATAATACTCCATGCCTGCTCTCCTTGTGTTTCAGCTAGAGGGCTGAAATACAAGTTACATAGCGCACCGTCTTTCGGATGAGACAGTTAAGCCGTTGGTCCTGTGTGCATTTATGGCCCATGTGCACGTTAAAGAACACAGTACTCCCAAGTGGACCGGCCATTATGGTCAGGGGGGGGGGGGGGGGGAACTAAACAAATTTTGTTGTAAAAGTTAGTAGGGTGCTGAGCATCCACTATCAGCCTCATCGTGGTTGTTGAACAACTTTTTTGCAACTCTGAATGCCCGGAAATAAATGCTGACAATTTGTAGAGCCGCTAGCCCCTCCCCTCAAAAAAATAAAATTAGCATGGAGTCTATGTTGGAAATATGGTACCTCTGGATGCCTGGAAATACAAGCTGGCAAACCTGTATAGCCACCACCCCTCCCCATTCTGTCTATTGGCAGACAATGATTTAAAGTTAGTGGGGACTAGAGATATACCCACCTCTGCCCCCTATGTTTTGGATCAAGGTGAGCAAATTTTGAAACTTAAGGCATCTATAAAATATAACTAAGTTATTGTTATGAAAATATGTAGTACAATATATACTGTACATCATTTACTAAATGTATCTATATTGAAATATTTGCTCCCAGCATACACTATATTCCATATTCTAAGTTTCGTGGCATGAATATATACCCATAGCAGGCTTGAGGATGTGTGAATAATGTTCATAAGGTACTCTCCCATATATGTGAGGCCTCACCACAAAATGAGTCTCATGGTTAGAATATCAAAAATTGAGTTTATATTATATTTGGGTAGATCACATTATATGCTTTAATTTGGTCTTTGAATGGCTTCACTAGGATATGTAGATCCAGAGATGTGAGCATTTAAATATTATGTGTAAAAGAACCACATTTTGAAAGAAAATTTACTTAAAAAGTATACAATCATTAAATATAAGTATCAAGTTATCAAAAAACATTAAAATCAAAATAGTGTAAAAATTTTGACTTTGGCCTATTTTGGTGATTACCTCAAAATGATTTCACCAACGATGCATCTCATTTCGTGGTGAGACCTAACATATAATACTAATAGGAAGATTTTTTTTAAAGGGCATCATATTCTTACTGGTATTACTCAAGAAAAAATAGAGATAATAAAGGCCTATGCCCTGTACATGATGCTAAAGAGTGGGCACAGAAAAAAACATCCAGGTTAAAAATTCTATATCTGGACACAGAATGTGGTAGCATTGACCAAATTACAATTCGTAAGATTATTTTAAATCATGGGAATAGACAAATGTAAGTCTACTGCGAAAATGATATATTGTTCAAAATGCAATTAAGTTGCTTATTCCTCCATAAATAAATAAGGTGCAGGAAACACTATGTACAAGGAATAACAATGAGAAATATTAACAATATGCAATTACTTAAATAGGCCTAGAACATATTATATGAATACACATGATACAGTATGCTATGAATTATCTATGGAAATACAGTAGGCCTCCTATGCCTACACAAATAACGTCGCGTTTCGACAAACTTTCTGCTCGTACAATTTAATTTACACTTACCAAATTCAGTCTGAAGCATAATCAATTATTTATCACGCTCAATGTCAGTTATACTATCACTTGAATTGTTAAAATGCTGTAATTAAATCCTGTGTTTTCTTCTGGTAGACCTTTACAGCGATTAAACTCAGACAGACCATGCAGATACCTCCATCTAACAGGTGATATAGACAAAGCACTAACATTCAACGGCTATCCAGCTTTTTTTGTAAAAGAGTGGGGAGGGGCACAATGTTGTTAAATGTGGCTAGTTTTACAGGGGTTCAGTGGTTATACCGTGGAAATTTGTTTACCTGGATGCCCAGAAAAAATATGAAATAATGATGATGATGATGATGATGATGATGATGTTGATGATGATGAAGATGAAACTTTGTTTAAAGTGAGTCCAATTTGGAATCAATGGAAAATAAAATCCCCGGTAAGGGTGCAGCGAAAAAGCCCCGAGAAAAATCAGTAGTTTCGATTTGGTATAGACTAATTAGGGTTGCTATATTTAGTCTTATAAAATAGTAATACTTCCAGAAAGCAAAGCCATATCTTCCCATTGAGCACAGGGACTAAAAAGTCATCTGACTAAATTAATATTCAAATCCAATCAAAGACGTTAATGAATGCTGTTCCCTAATATTGTAGTCTAGAAGTATAATTTTGGGATGCCCAAAAATAGCAACTGGCAATTATAGAGCCAAATGCCACTCCCAAGCAAGGGGCAGAAACAGCATGCATGATGTGAACAAATTATGAAATTATGGCATCTGTGATACCCAAAAATAGCATCTGGCAACCAAGTACAAGTAATCAGGGCTGACTTTATCTGCATAAGCCTTGTGTGGTGACTAACCCCCAACATTTCATACATAGTTAATTGTAATTATAGGTTTATACCTCTAAACATTGTCAAAATTACAATTTTTTTAGGGTGTAGACTTTTCTGTTATTTGCCGTTGTCTCTTATTTGATATTTTTAATTGTAATATTTCTACCTTTAATGTAATAGGCCTATGTATGTAATATTTAATATGTGAAACTGAATTTTTATGTAATTTTATGTACCATATTTTTAATCTTTAGACATTTATTTTTTATATCATTTTGTATATTTCCTGTTTTTTGGTGTTTTGACACACTGTTGGGTCTTTAATAGTTAAAAAAAATTTTTAAAAATAAAATATGTAACAATATTGAGAAAAAGTGGTCCGGCCAAAGCCAGTGCGGTTCCGACGGCCCTTCCACCAGAAGGACCCCACTGGAAATAAGTCTTCTTCTAGACATTTGTGGGCTATCCTTGGTGTTTACACCGAATAAATCCAATCCAATCCCATCATTGGAATATTTAGAGTTGCAATACAACAATGTTAGATTCCTACAGTAGTGGCAGATGACAAATTTACTACTAGAATTAGAGGAAGAATCTGATGGTGGAATGGGATATGATGTTTATGAATTAAAAAACATGACATGAAATTGAAAAACTAAAAAGAGGACATAACTAGACATAGGTATCGAAGTAGTTTCCAACAAGATGTGGACATAATAAGAGAAATTTATGTATATTATAAAATATACAGTATGTTATCAGAATGTATGAAGATGTTTTAAGTCAAGAAAGAAAACCATTGTACAATGCCTCATATAAATTAAAAACAGATGGCTTGACGCAAAATGAAAGAAAAATGGGAAGATATGTTGATCAAATCTTAAGTCCCTAAACTAATGTTTAGTCTCAGTCTATATGTGATTGTTACCATAGTGAGGACACTGTATTTTTCTACACCACTGTTTCATAATTTGTTTAATCATAAATGTATGTGGAATTATTTTGAGATGTATTATGATATTAATAGCATTATTACATTTTAATTTTTCATTATACATTAAAATGTGCGTAGAAATGGTTGTTATGGTAATGACGTTTTGTTCTACAAACCACTGCATAAATTTCCATTTTCAATTTTTATATGGAAATTAAAAACCATATTGTGATGCAATATATGAAATTATATTTGAAATTGATTATTAATGTTCTCCTATGATATTTAAGTTTTATATATTTTAGTGGTAATGATTCACTGTTGGTCTGATAAAATGAAATAAATATTAATAAACATTTAATAAACATTTTTCATTAAACTTACAAGTTTTCATTAAGTTTGCTAGCAATGGTTGTTATGGTGATTACCTATTTTTAACATTATTATGTACACCTTTTTTTAAACAAAGACCGTGTGTTATTTAAAAAAATGTAAAGACAAATAAACATTTTTATTCATTGCTATGGCGATAACTATCAATATTGTATTCACATTAAGATGTTATCTTTCATTTATATTATCTTACAATATTAATATTTACTAAACATCTCTCACGAAACCTTTAATTATATTAATAAATTTCAGGTTTTCATTTTAATAATTTAGAAAAAATAGGATATTTCAATTAGCAACATTTGCTATGGTGATGACCTTGCTTTCATACTAAATTGTGTTATAGGATATTTAATAAACATTTTTTCATAAATCCTATAGTAATAAATTAGTCTTCATTATATACCTATTTTTATGAAAAAATAGGAAATTCAAATTTGCATAGCAACAGTTGCTATGGGGATGACCTTGTATTTTATACATCAATGAGTTAACTTTGTTCAAAAAGAGATGTTTATTATTATATAAATATATTGTATCTCATGATTTTTGCTTGGTCACTGACAAATGTATGTGCAATTCTGCTGATTTTGCTTCGTTGCTATGGACAATAAAAAAAGGTTTGCTATGCAATTATATTAAAGTTTCAGCATTTTTTTACATAATCCTATTCTACGATAATAATAGATAATTCAGATGTTAAGCATATTCATAAAACCTATGAAAATAAAGATTTTAATAAACTTTAGGCTTCCTGTATACTTAAATTTCATGAATAAAATAGGAAATTTAAATTTGCATAGCAACGGTTGCTATGGTGGTTGAAATTGTAATTTTTCTAAACGCAAGATTCATTTTCGATAATTAACGAATATTTTGAGTAAGTTTCACCAATTGTTGATGATGATTATTCGAGTAATGTTATTTTTTATATTATTTAGCTAAAACTATAATTTGAAGCGGAAAAATGGCGGCCTTATGAATGCGTAATTTGAAAGTGTTCCCCCAAAGGGATTTTGGGTAATTTTGAGTCCTGAACTTCTCAAGACCTATATTTTCAGAAAATATCAAAATTAGCCGGTAGTACTTCCATTGCCACCTCAACGATTTTTAGAGGACTTTTTGGCCATAATCTGCTCGCCTATAAAGACCTATAGTTCAAAAGACATTGGGACTTATGATCTAAGGGTGGAGATTGGGAGTTTCCTTTACCTACTGTGGGGGTCCAAGGAATATCCACCAGGAATCTCAAAATACTGATAATTTTACCTTTCAAGAGGGGTCTTAACTTATCCACTAAGTGCAGACACTTAATGAATACTTTGTTCGACGCTGTTTACTTACCTATTGAATGCCCTATAAGAATTAGCCGCTTATTGGGTGGAATGTTTTCTTTTACAAAAGCTTTCTTGTGCTCAATCTGTCCTCTGAGACTATAAACATCAAAGTTGCTTTGAATACCTTGAAAAAAATAATAATAAAAAAATATATGCAACAAAAACACACACTTTGCCAAAAAAAAAAGTTGGATTGGGGAATTGTAACACAAGTACTTATTAACATCTAGGGCACTTCCTTGGTGTTTTATGTTCTTTCACATACATACAGTACACATGTTGACATTCGAATATTCATTCTGTATGCCTACAAATTGATAAACCAATTATAGAAGATTTTGAGCCTTTGAAATGTAGGAAGCACTTGGGGTTGACACTCAATTTGTGATGTTGTATCATGTTTATTTACCCCACACTGGTATTTTACCCTCTTTTTTTACTGGTTGACCAATGGGTGTTGGTTTGCCATGGTGCCCAGCATGTGATATTTACCCCTCACTTGCAGTTTAATTACCCTATATTTTTGCTGGATGACCAATGGGTATAATTGGTCTGCCATGGTGCCCAGCATGTAATATTTACCCCATATTTGTATGCATTTAAAATACCTTTTGTTATTGCTGATTGACCAATGGGTGTTGATTTGTGATGGTGCCCAGCATGTGATATACCCCACACTGGTATCTTCTTCTGGCTTTTCATAAAAAGTTCTTCCATAAAGACCTCATAAAATGTCATCACCCCTGGATTACCTGGTGGTGGAAGATGAAATAATAATAATAATAATAATAATAATAATAATAATAATAATAATAATAATAATAATAATAATAATAATAATAATAATAATAAATAAAAAATAAATAAATAAATATACTGTCTCTCTTAAACAATCCTACTATGTGTTCAAGTGGCTTGGGAGGGATTAGCCAAAGGTTTCTAACCTAGGTGACACTGCCACTAATTAACTGTTTAACAAAATGATGAAAAAATGGATGACCATTGATTTAATCAAATAATTTTGTTACTGATGCTCATTTTTATTAAATAGGCCCACTTTTATGAACATTACTTAAGAATATTAATTATAAATTAAAAATAAGATAATTAATAACAAAATAATACGATATGATTTATTAAATAATACAACAGCAATAGCAACAAAAATAATTATTATAAAGATAAAAATTTTCCTTACATCTTGAATTATACAAGAAAACAATTATACTATACACCAATCTCAAGAAAATGACAAAAACCAAGACACTTCAATCCATTAACATTACAATTACAACTATATTACACACTGTGGGTAGAGGTTGTCCTAAGACCACATGGCTTAAAAACATCACGGATTGGATGGGGAATATGACGTTTTGATTGAGGGAAGCAGAGGATCGACTGCAGTGGAGGAGGAGGGTGTTATCATCAAAGCGCCCCGATGGTCTTCCGACTATGGGAGTGACATGACCTGACCTGTGGGCCAATAACAATAATTTCTTGTTTCATTTCATTAACTTAGAACAAAGAAAAATAAAACTGACAAACACAAAATAACAGAGGGAAAAAAAACATTCTTCAGTAGGCCAGACAGGATTGCCAAAAAGTGAACTACACATCACTGTCTAGTGGCTCTCCGATGCCAATGAGAACATAAATTAGTATAAAATGGTCAATGTAAGGCTGATATTCATAATAAATATTGTATAGTACTACTGTAGTAGGAAAAAGAGAACAAATGTGAGGTAATGAGAAACAATGTATTTTTTTAATTGACCTTACAATTCAATGTTGTGTCTGCTTACCAGGAATGATAAGGATAATGACATCATGTGAGGACTTTGGCACAGGTTCGTACTTGACCACGTGAGTAAGCACGTTCATCACTTGCACAAAACAGTCCTTTGAATTCATTGTCATATTTTCAGAGGTAGTTTCAGATGTAGTATGCTGATGTAAAAATATAAAAAGTTCATTTAAAAATTGTTATCAAAATTGTACAATGTAATTGATCATTACATATGATCAGGGTCGATGTCCTAGGGCTAGATTCCTTCAGCAGTTATCACTAGCAGTGTTTAGGCCAATCTAGCTTAAAGATGTTCACAGCAAGCAGGGTTCCCGGTCCGGTTTCCAGGTCGGACACCGGTCCAGAAAACCGGGCTTGGTGTGAATATAGCAATACAGGTTAAGTGTGAGCCTTGCCTTGTCTAAAACTAAACACCCACCCAGCCACCCTCCTGTCCTCCCCCACCCACTCTCGTCTTATGGGCGGAAATAAATCAAAGCTGGGATCACTGTGAGCTCCACCAGTCCCTAAATAATGTTGTCCTATCAGTGAACATTATTTTTAAAATCGATTTTGGCACCAATGGCGTTCAATACAATACTTTTCCTTTCAAATTCAAAATAAACACAACAAAACTGATATAACACTGCAAGGACGGGAAAGTTTCCAAAATTCAAGCCTAGGATCGCCAACAACGCTTAACGAAACCGGCGTTGGCTAAGCTAGGCCTATGACTGGACTATCCTGGATTAGCCCTTTCTAGCTAGCTAGGGGATAGCCTGGCACTTACCAGATACGGTGTACAGAGACCGACGACCGGACTTAGCCTAGCTAGGAACTAACCTAACTAAACTAGAACCTAGGCATTAAATTATTAATATTATTATGATCTAAAAACTCAGCTAAATTTTTTTTAAACGACTTAATCAAGTGATATATTTGTATGTATGCCTACACAACCAAATACATAGGCCTAACCATTCTTTCTTCTTACCATGCACCGACTCTACAAAAGTATTGGTTGTCCTTCCCCCACCAACGAATGTATGGAACGCCAAGGAAGTTTAAAACATATTGGCCAATCAGTATGATTATTATCTTTCGAAGGGAAGTTAAGTTTAAGTCACCATGGGCCACTTTTTTTTTTGTCAATTCTATTACTTTTTAAATACTGATACTTATAAATTATATCAATTCATTATTAATTTTCGTATCACATTGTCTTTTTAATGTTATATTTAAACAAACATATCAACCATGAGCTTTTTTTTTTTTTTTTTTTTTTGGTTATGTACATTTAAACTTTTTTGACAATCTTCAATTTTAGTAATGAAAAGTTATTTCGTAATTTGTTTGCATATTGATATAAAATCATTACAAACAAAAGTGGTGGTGCCAAGACTTGCCCAACGGCTGGGAAGGGGTAATGTCCCAGAACCTCTGAAGGGGGTCTAGGGGCAAAGCCCCCCTCCCCCCACCAGGATCTTACAATCTAGAGATTTTGAAAGCTTTTAGGCTTCGTACAGCTTCATATTCTGCAAAATGTTTTTTTTTTCTTCTCAACGAATTGTTTTCGGTTCTCTGGCGGGGGTCCTGTCACCACAACTGGCAACACCACTTAATTTCAATTGTCACAAAAGTTTGTTGGGAACTGACGGTTAAGCAGCATGATGAGTGGTAAAGTACCGCATTCAAAACCAGTCCTCGAATAGTTGCCTTTGTATAATAAGCAGGTTTACATATTTGAATTTAAAAGATAAAAAGAATAGTCATAGACAGGATTTTAAATGAAGGAGGGTGCACTTGCGAGCAAGGTGAGTCTTAGGCTAGGGATTCCCGGCTGGGTCCTGATGCCGAGAAGCTCCGACAAAGTAGCATTTTTAGGTCGTATTTAATGAATTTCTGGAACCCATAATTCGTAACAACTCTATTTAAATTTCTATTTTGTACCACAGAGTTAGTTGAAGCCAAAATAATTTGCTCCGCGTGCCAAAAATAGTGCCCATTGGCCGCCTATCAAGAGCCAGGGAGCTACAACCACCAAATTTGCTTTTTAGTTCCTAAACCTCAATCTTTTCTTTCTAGTAATATTAACATTATAAAGACTAAATATAGAAACCACACCAAATTAGTCCATACCTTATCAAAACTCATGTTGATTTTCCCGGGGAATTTCCAGAGGTTGTTTACCAACCGTGATGTGGACTGGGGTGGATATGCTATCAGAAGTACCCCACTAACTTTAAAATCATGTATTTGTGGTTAGGGGTTGCGGGTCAGTTTCAAAACCAAATTTGTTAGGCGCCGGTATACCACCAGATACATATTATATGCAACCATTTGTTTCTGGCCGTAGCTATTGTGTAGTAGAGTGTATCTGGTGGTATTTAAAACTGTTCAACCATGAAGCCTCCGTGGTCTAATGGTTATGACGCTCTCCTTGACAGCGAGAGGTCGCAGGTTCGATTCCCGCCAGAGGCATTTTATTAAACAATTTCTTTATTCATATATTTACAGGACTACATTCGTTGAGAGCTATTGAGGTATTATTATGTCCTTTATTAGAACACTGTATTTACCTTTCTTTGACGATTTATATATACATATATAGGCCTATCTATCTCTCATTATATATAGACTTAAGGAAATAAGGACAGGGTGGAGAAATCAACTCAACTATGTTTTAATTTAATTTCGTTACTATGACAAATTTATGCTTCAATGCACAATATTTTTAAATAAGAACAAGCAATGTATTAATCTAAACAAGACCGGTAGAAAGGCACGGGCAATAATGATGAACGTGTTGACAATTGCAATTTACATTCTCAGCGATTATGCCAGAGTATATGCACAAAGTGATTTCGGAAGGTAAGCATCTAGTAAGTGTTAAAGACGTACACTAAACATGATATACCATAACATATCAAATGTGTTGTGGTGATTATAATAGGCCTAATACTTTTGGATGTTTCAATGTGGCGCCAATTCGATAGAGGAACGCATATATTCGAGAGCTGTGCTTTGTTATTAGATTGTTTGTATTATACCATGTTGAAGATTGGTCATCTGACTTGTTGCAACGTTTAGTATTATTAATTTCGGAAAAAAGTTTATTACTTATAAACTTATAAGTTTCCTCTGATGATACAAGTCAGATCCTATGTAGAGGCATTTATTAGATCAGACGGTACGCACTATTATTGCATTTTTAAAAAAATGGCATTTCTCGATGTTCTTGAGATTTATTCTAATATAAATTTTCACCAAGGTTTGAAAATTTACACTGATTAATCTTTAGTTCATCTTTAAGGATGTACTATCAGTCAAAAGACAGGAAAATCCTCATAAATTAAAATACAATTTTGAATATCTCTTAAAAAGATAAATTATTAGCTTCCACAAAAAAGGTATAGAAATTTTGTTGTTTTCTCCAATTTACAGATATTTAAAATCTTTAAATTGACTACGGTACCAGTCAATTTAAGAATTTGCGTAGTAAAATGTCTGTAAATCACAAAAAAACTGTTTTTAATGTTTCTTTTAAACAAGCTTTTCAAACAATTTAAACAATGTTTGAGGTAATTTCCTGTCTTTTGACTATCTTTAAAATACACAGTGGGCTTTTGCAGAAAGTCTTACAGATAATAACTTGAATAACTTGCAATTTGGTGTTCAAAACCTGTTTGTAGTACTGTAAATACGTACTTATAACGTAATTTCTCACTAAACTTTCTGACACAATCTAACCACAACGGTCTTGGATGTACTAACCTGTGTCTGCTGGGGAAGCATGAATATACAATGATTATTAGACCATGTAGAATATTAAAATGATGAATCGGCAATCAATAACATTTTATTACAATAAAAATAATAATTAAATTTGGAAGACAAATACAGATCTTTGCTTTATTTATCTGATATGTTATCAAACATAAGAAAAAGCAGGAGCTCAGAACTTGTGAACATACAAAGATAAGCTTCAAATCTTAATACATTAAAAAAAAGTTTTGTCTCGAGTTTTGTGTCAGCGGCTGACCCTTGTTGACTCTTGTTTCTGGATACATTCTCTTTTCGTCTTTCTAATTGTATTATGTAAACGGTAAAGTGTAGCTTCATTCTGTTTTGAAGCTCTGAAGAGTCAAAATTCCTCGACCTTTTACACATTTTTAAAGATTTATATCTATAATTATGAAATGTTCAGTATGCAAAACTTTTAAGAGGTTATCTCGATTTTCATCAATCTTGGAAGAAACACAACAGCAAATTTTATATTAAAGTCTCCGGTCTTGGTATAATTTTTAGGATTTTTTGTTCTTCTAATATAATATCGTTTGCTAATTCTTCCTTATTTGAATATTGTTTTATTTTTTTTTATAATGTTTTTATCAATTTTAATATTTAATTATGATCTGCTTGTAAATTTATATTTGATCAGGAGGAAGTAAATAAATTTCACGTTATATTGAATAGTAGGCCTATTGTATCATGTAATTAGTAATATTTAGTATTACTAGTAATGCTTCGTATGCTTTATCTTCAGTACCCCTGACCATCATGGAGCTATTTTGAGGAAGGATATAGAGACCATTTCGTCCGTCAGACCTCATGACGAAGAAGGTACGGTACGAATTGTAGATTGTTTTAATTTAATTTTATATAAGTCGGCTCCATGGCTGCAAACTTGTTTTTACATCTTAGCAATCCAGTCGAGATTTAATCAAGTGCTTGTACTCTTATCTATAAGATACTGCATTTAGGCCCTAATATTATTACAATTTTGATTTTGTAAAATACTAAGATAATGTGAGGCAGGCGGGTCGACCGGTCAGTAAGACTGCAGGCAGGCCAATATATTTCAACTTAAACTCGAATAAGCAATCGGAATTCATCAAGGTCTTTAGTTTTGGATGTTATTTGAAATGTTTTTCATTTATGTGAACAATCATCTAATACCTCAATACAGTATTCACATACTATATAAATCAAGTTGTATAATCTTTGATATCACGTAAGAGATTGGCTAACATATTTACCTCACGTTTATATTTCTGTGTCCTCTGTATTGAACAGCTTGTCAACACTTTCTTCTATTTATACCCAGGTTATCCTATCTGGTAGGATTGAATACGGGCATATATCTTTCGGTTTACCAGCTATAGATACGTACTCCAGGAAGCTATTTTAGTGCAATATGTAATAACCTGTGTAAAATTGTTAAGTCCATAATATGTAATAAAAGACCGGCATTATTAGTAGTACAGTATAATGTACTATTGAGTATCATCAGTGTCGTATAATGGTAAGGATTATTGATCCGTGTGTCAAATCTAATAGATTGACATCAGTTTTATGATTGATTTGAACATTAATGGTGAATTAAATTGTAGTTGGCAGCAAATTAATAATATGTGTGGAGCTATAAAAGACAGAATGATAATTTATCATGATTTGAAAGTAAAAATAAATATTATAATATTGATAGAATAAAGATTGAGGCTTTACCAATGAGGAACAAAACCTCGATTTATATACTGTAATCGTTATTATGTTTTTTTAAATTCACGTTAGGTCCAGTGGATGAACTTCAAATATGGATTTATATTTTAGGTATTGATTCTATAAGAGATGATCAACAAGTAAGCTTCTCCTATTTCGTTTACATCGCATGAGATCGCATTATGAGTGCTTGGCCTAGGTGTTCCATGGGTGGTCACACTCAGTGGCGAATCTATGGAAGGGCGGCAGGCGTGGTGGGGCACGTACCTTGAATAAAAGCTGCGCCCCTCCACCCCCAGACGCTCCGATTTGAAATTTTCTTACAAGAAATTTACGCTCTAGTAGGCCTACTTAAAAATCTCCCCATATCACTATTTGCCAGCTATGGCCTTTTGTAATCATAATCCACTAACCTTCACGCTCCCATCGATCGCCATGTCAATATTTCTAGATACGCTACTTGCTATACCCCTTATGCATACAAACTATGATTATTGAACATTAACTCATTGCATATAATAACTCAAATTGTAGAGTAAATGATAATGGTAATGGCTGTGTATTTGTATAGCGGCATTGCTGGACAGTCTCTATGCGCTTAAAAAGCAAAGCCTTGAAAGAAAAAATAGAATTATCCTCATTATTATTATTATTATTATTATTATTATTGATATTATTATTATTATTATTATTATTATTATTATTATTGTTATTATTATTATTATTATTATTATTATTATTATTATTATTATTATTATCATTTAGTCACGAGATAACTTAAACCGGACGTTTTACTGTAATAGTTTTAATATTTATTTGTAGTTTAATAGTCCTTATAGACAGCACTGGGCCTATTTAAATTATTACATTTTGAAGGAAATCACCATTCTCTACCTATAACATGGAACTTTGGTAATTCGTTGTGAGTAGTGAGTAAGCACTCGTTCAATTCCCTCCCATCATCCCTGCATACGGGCCTGGAATTTCCATTGTTTTTTTGTTTTTTGTTTGTTTTTTGTTTTTTTTATTTTTACCTATTTAATGACCGGGGTGGAATGATGAGTTATTATTGTTTAATTTTCGCTCAGGATTTTAGCATGACACTTTTGATAAGTGTAGCTTGGAATGACTGGAGACTGGAGCATAACCACACAAGAGATCTTATACTAATTGGCACTGACGTCACTAAAATCTGGTTGCCAAATGTGATATTTCTGGATGCGACTGTGGCTACAATTAGTGATGTCATGAATGATAACCGTTTCGTTAGGATATCGCCAACTGGTGATGTGGAATATACTTGCAGGTTAATCCCATTATTTATTAGCAATTAGACAATTGTATTCGACGCCACCTCACTGCGTACCGGTAGGTCTATTTACACGATTGACAATAATCGCCTTTGTAGTACACATATTTGAAGTTAGTATAGGCCTACTACCTTAAGAAAACGCTCAAATACATAATAAAAATTAAGATATGACTAAAAAGCACATACTAAAAAAATGAAATTAAATCCATCTCATACATGTTTAAGTTCAATATTGGTACAAATAAAAAAAACATTTCCTGTGCAATAATAATTTACTATTTATTGGTTAGAAAAAAAGAAAAGCAAGCGGTAAAAAAGGGGGAAAAATAAAGAAACTCATTTCAGAATCTCTGAAGTGTTTCCTAAGCCTTCGGCCCAGGCCAGGAAAATCAGGTTTACTCAATTTATTTTAAATATTTTGTCTTAATCTGTGATAATGAGTGGCGTGACCAACGAATCGACGCCACCTCACTGCGTACCGGTAGGTCTATTTACACGATTGACAATAATCGCCTTTGTAGTACACATATTTGAAGTTAGTATAGGCCTACTACCTTAAGAAAACGCTCAAATACATAATAAAAATTAAGATATGACTAAAAAGCACATACTAAAAAAATGAAATTAAATCCATCTCATACATGTTTAAGTTCAATATTGGTACAAATAAAAAAAACATTTCCTGTGCAATAATAATTTACTATTTATGGGTTAGAAAAAAAGGAAAGCAAGCGGTAAAAAAAAAAGGGGGGGGGGGGAAATAAAGAAACTCATTTCAGAACCTCTGAAGTATTTCCTAAGCCTTTGGCCAAGACCAGGACAATCAGGTTTACTCAATTTATTTTAAATATTTTGTCTTAATCTATGATAATGAGTGGCGTGATTAACGAAGCAAGCTGTCCTCAAGAATAATGTGTGACCCTAACTAAATAAAAAATAAAAACAGAATCATCATTATATTTTTCATATATTATATTTAAACAACCTCTTTACATCCTCAAACCTGCATTACTCCTAAGTAAATCTTATCGTTTACAGGAAAATTTACAACTGAACGTTATACCCCGGACTATGCCACTCACTCCCAGTACGAACAAAACGATAACATAACTATTTATTTTATTTGGCCATCATTTAAAAACGATATTTGGCCATCTCATAGGCGCAATGTCTATTCGATGTTACTGTTTCCATGCCATATTATCTTCTATGTTTTTTAGTTTACTAAAAATGCTATTGATATTTTACAGAATAAAATTAACGCACTTCTGTCCGATGAACTATGTTCTATTTCCATTTGACGTTCAGCTCTGTTCTGTAAGACTTGGAACGTGTAAGTTAAGTGTAGTATTAAAATAATTACTGTATAGTATTTTACACTTTTCCAACCGAAAACAGAACAAAAGTCTTTATTTGCGTTCGCTGCTTATAAGGAAGTAATGCCAAATCACAATTAAAAAATATTGTCACAATCTGAAATTATGCCCCCCCCCCCTTCCAAGGGTAGACTTAATCACTTTCACCAATCACAAAAATGAGATATATTTCTACCTGAAAGAAATAATTCATGCATTCTCTATTGAATAATTTTGACCAATAAAAGTGTTGTTTTTTTTAAATATGTCGATTTATCAATGTGCTGAATATAGGCTACACAAATTGTAGGTCTACAGAGAATATAACTTATCTAATACTAATACAGTAATATAACAACAGCAGCAGCAGCAACAACAACAACAACAGCAACATTAACATTAATAGTATAGTAGTAATAATAATAATTATAATGATGATGATGATGATGATGATGATGATGATGATGATGATGATGATGATGATCATAATAATAATAATAATAATAATAATAATAGTGAACATCAGTTGTGAAGTTTTTTATCGTTTATTATAGTCGGCTATTTTGACAACGAAGTGCGCTTGACTTGGGCGGCGTTAGAAGATCCAATCATGATGATGAAGGAAGTCTTATTTGTTACTCATTATACCGAACCCCAAATCAAGGATCATGTAGCCTTGAGTATACCTTTTTCAGAAACAGGTTTCGCTTTCATATTTTGTGATTTTACCATTGCTTTTTAAATATTTAAAATTATATTTCACTGTAATGCTGTAACGTGTTTATTTTACTGTATCTCTTTTGATACTTTAACGTATTCTATATTTTGACCTTATATTTACGTGGAACACAAACAATTGTTATCCGAATTATAACAATAGTATTGAACATTTCTAAAACGCGGGTATACGTAGAAAAAAGCTCACGGCGCCCCTTCACAGAAAGACAAATTATGAAATGAAGAAATTAATGAAACCAGATGAATTACATGTACCAGCATTATGTAATAACAAGGCAATTATTAAGTAGACAATATTCTTCATATACTTTAATTGTTACATAATACTGATACATTACTTCTGCTACCTGTAGGCCTATCAGGTCATCCCATCTTGTTTACAGTCGACTCACTGATAATAACAAAGCAATTATTATTAATAATAATTGCTTAAAAGTAGACAATATTCTTCATATACTTTAATTGTTATCATAATACTGGTACATTACTTCTGCTTCCTGTATCAGGTCATCCCATCTTGTTTACAGTCGACTCACTGATAATAACAAAGCAATTGAGTAGAGTCTGTCTCTTATACACATCTAGATGTGTATAAGAGACAGATATAAATCATCAATGTGAAGAATCATCTTTCTTTGATGATTTATATATATAATTTAACAGTGTTAACGGCTTTTTTTATTTATATTATATGCAACTATTTGTTTCTAGCCGTACCTATTGTGTAATGGAGTGTATCTTGTGGTATTTGAATCTGTTTAACCATGAAGCCTCCGTGGTCTAATGGTTATGACGCTCGCCTTGACAGCCAGAGGTCGCAGGTTCGAGTCCCGCCAGAGGCATTTTATTACACAATTTCTTTATTCATTTATTTACAGGACTACATTCGTTGAGAACTATGACACACGATGTATTATTATGTGCTTTATTCGAACACTGTATTTACCTTTCTTTGATGATTTATATATATATATATAATTTAACAGTGTTTTAACGGCTTTCTTGATTTATATTATATATCAAAATAATTGAAATTTATGAGTGACAAACATCGGCTTAAAGAAGTATCCAGAATATCAAATTTTATTTGCCAAAAACATGTGACATGCCTTAATAAGGTCATGATGACATCACATCATAGATATATATGGGCATATTTTTTTTTTGTCAAATACAATTTGAAGGTTACAATTCTATTATAACTAATCAGAATAAGAACATCATGAGTGACATAGGCTTAGACAATTCTACTCCATTTACCTTTAGTATAAGGAGCTTTCGATTTGTGCGACGACACAAGGCTAGAACGGAATCACTCATGCGTGACCGTCCTACCTGGCGTCCTACGTTCTCTCTGCATACGTCGATTTGGCGAAATTGCGTTAGAGTCTGCTCGACGAGGTGACCTTAACGTTCTCGCATGCGCAGATGACTTTTAGTGACGTCATTACGTTCTACGTCCTACCGTCGTCGTGCAATGGACCTTTCCGCTAACTCCCGCCCCTTGGATATTGTTGCTAAGGTCCTCCCACAAGGCGACAGTGTTAAAACATACGCGAACACGTGCGTTTGTGGGACAACACGTGTGTTTGTGAGACGCGCGCGTATTCCTAGCGCTGTTCTGATTAGTCAGTTGTTAAGTTTGATTGAAACTCCGGAAAGGTCTATTGAAAGCTCCCATGATGCTGGAAAATTACTTCTGCTTTCAGTTATAATTTGTGTTCATCCCGCCTTCTTACAGTCGACTCACAAAGCGTCAATTATAAATAATTAAAAATAAGAACATTCAGTTTGTTTTTATATCTAGTATCTTTGTTGAGAATCATGATAATAAAATACGCAACGACTTGGTAACGAAAGTTTGGCACAAGTTTTTTTAGCTCCAGCTGTAGGGGGCGTCCCATTTTTCGTATTCCCACCATGCATTTCGGTGGAGCACGGTGGAACACTTTTTTTGTGTGGAGAACTCTATCTTGTATTTCCAGTATCTTTGTTGAAACTCCGGAAAGGTCTATTGAAAGCTCCCTAGTATTACATGATGCTGGAAAATTACTTCTGCTTTCAGTTATAATTTGTGTTCATCCCGCCTTCTTACAGTCGACTCACAAAGCGTCAATTATAAATAATTAAAAATAAGAACATTCAGAGTGACGAACATAGGTAGACACTTCCATTACATTTACCTTCAGTGTTACGGTACATGATGCTGGTAAATTACTTATACCTTCTGTTAATGATACATTGTGTTTTATCTCGCCTTTCTTACAGTCGACTCCCTGAGAAAGTGTATTAATAATAACAACAAAATAAGAACATTATGGGTGACAAACATCCTCAGCAGAGCGCTGACCTTGTATAGTTTGTATTCTGTTTCTCTTTATTAATACTTCTTTTTGCATTAATTTTGGATAGAAAATATTTCTAGCTTATGTTTTACAATGGAACTTCAACGTGAGAGGAATTATTATGTGTGGGGATACATGGCTCCCGCGGCTTTTCTCGTGATTCTGAGCTGGCTAAGCTTTTGGATCGATGTTACTGCCGTCCCTGCACGTGTATCTCTCGGAATAACAACTGTATTAACCTTCTACACTCAAAGCACTTCTGCCAATCACCTGACGCCAAAACTTGGATATGCTACGGTAATCATGGTGTAAACGTACTAACTGTAGGCCATCATCATAATGGGCAGTGACAGCGACAGCGACGTTGACGACAGTATAATGAAGACGATGATGATGAGAATGACAATATAAATGATGAAGATCATGATGATAATAAAATATATAGCAATCACTCTCCCTTCCCTCCCAAATTTTGCTCAATGATAGGCCTATAGCTCAACCTTCTTTTTCCCCCGAGGGGGAGGGGTGGTGGCTAGACTTCCCCGACGAGAAGGCGATCGATTAAATTTAAGTCAAAATGTCATGGAATGACCTATACTAATTTCCTTTGTAGTTCATGGATTCGTGGATGGCAATGTGTCACACTTTTATATTACTGGCGTTAGTAGAGTACGGGATCGTTCATTATTTTGACGTAAAGGGAAGAAAATGTAGGGATGAGGCGCTACGTAAATTCAAGATTTTAAGAAACGATAAATCGGTTAGTAAATCTATAATAACCATAATTGCATCATAATATGGCATTCCTTTTCACAGATTTGTTGTTATTTAATTTTACATCCAACGGAAAAGTACGCCTGAGAATGGTATGGTGCCTTAAACTAAATGTCTTTATGAGGCTTAGGGAGTAGAGTTTGGTTTTAGTCGTTTGGTAAATAACTATGTTATCGTCACATATCTTTGTCGAGCATGAAATATTGATCAGTATCATCATCATCATTATTATCATCATCAATATCAATATCATCATCATCTCATGTACGTTATAATCCTGTCTCTTATACACATCTAGATGTGTATAAGAGACAGTCTCTGCATACGTCGATTTGGCGATAATAATAATAATAATAATAATAATAATAATAATAATAATAATAATAATAATAATAATTTCAAAATTTAGACATTATTCTCAGTTCCATGTGGACTTTTTTAGAACTAGTGCTGTTCCGTACTTGAAAAGATAGTAAAATAGTTGGAATTGAATTTACCATGAATCTCAGAAGGTTCCTACAACCAATGCCTTAGCCAGTTGGGACAGTTTTTCTAGTGGGTCCACAAAGAATCGGTCCACATTTTTAAAAAATGGGTCAAAATTATGCAGTTTTATGCAGAAAATTATGCAGTTTTATGCATAAAACGAGTCCACTTTTGCAAAATGGGTCCAGATTTCTCATATTTAGCCTAAATTGGGTAAAATTTTAAATACGTGGGTCCACATATTTCATAAAATGGGTCAAATTTTAAGAAAATGGATCCACATTATTTGCCAATACGTGTAAAGTGGTTCCACCGTGATATTGTTCCACACTGTTTGAAAATTCTGGCTACGGCATTTGCTACAACGTAATAATTTGTATACTGGTGGTTACTTCGATTCCAAGAGCTCAAATCCTGTGAAAGAACTAGAAATTTTTTTCACGACTAAAAACATCTCCATTGGACCCCGTAATATGAGACATAAGCCTGGTTCTCACGAGAGCCCTGCATCCGGATCGGAAGCTAACCGTTAGCACCTACGTGAGAACGCCCGATCGGTTAGCGCTAACCGTTAAGAGCCTGGTTCTCACGAGCCTGGTTCTCACGAGAGCCCCAGTATCCGGATCGGGAGCTAACCGTTAGCGCTAACCATTAGCACCTGCGTGAGAACGCCCGATCGGTTAACGCTAACCGTTAGCAGTATCCGGATACCGCTAACGGTTAGCAAGCACTATCGGTTAGCAAGTTGGGCGTGTTTCTATCATCAACCAATCACACGTATGCGTTTACAATTTCCAGTTTCTTATTGGACAGTGATTCGATCATCATATTTTTGGTATCCGGATCGGGATTTTCTCGGATGGACGCACGGCAGCTAACGGTTAGCAGGATCCGGATCCTGGTAACCGTTAGCAGCCGTACGTGTGAGAACATGTTTACAAAGCATCACATTACTTTCATAAAAGATCCTTGAATATCAACTCGAATACACTATAGGCTGAAATGGTTACCCTCTGTATGGTATAAACAGATCGAATCCCGTCAAGTTTTTTTTTACTGGTTTTATCTATCGTGTGGCATAGGCTCTAAGCTATGCCTATTTTTCTACGTATGGGCGTACGTTATTTGCTCTAAAGTAAACAATATTTTCCCCACAGAACCGTGAAAGAAAAGACAATTTCAATAAAGATGGTAAAAATGTACCTGTGCATTTCCAAAACATTTACTCAGTTGATGAGTTTATCAAAACGCTCGAGAGAAGTGAGCTCCCAAACAGTCCTGAAGAGATCGCTTTACGGGATGCTGAACAACATGCATCAAAGAAGATTCACTTGGCGTATAAAATAGACCTAGCCTGTCGAATTGTATTTCCTACTTGTTTTGTAGTAGCTGGGTGCATTTTCTTTCTCTTTACACTTTTGAATACGGCAGTGTAAACATAACATTTTGTAAACTGTACTTTCGTGAACTGACGTCTTTGTTAAAGAAAGACATTTTATAGACGTGTTGAGCTCAATTTTCTTTTTAAAACTATAAAATTATTGTTTTGTTAACGCTTATTGTATAGTTTCTGTATGTTTAAAAAGGGAAGAAATTTATGTAAATGGGTCAATTCTATATAATTTGGTTGGCGGAGGTGGGGGAGTGAGTGTTGTTAAATTTTATATCTGAATGTTTTGTTATTTTGTATAATTTTTTTTATATTTTTTTTGGATGCACCTTTCTTTTGGAAGAGTGCAACTGATATAAATAAATAGATAAATAAATAAATAAAAATACCGTAAATAAATAGAATAAGTAAATAGTAGATAGATAGATAGATAGATAGATAGATAGATAGATAGATAGATAGATAGATAGATAGATAGATAGATACATACATAGATAAATAGATACATAGATACATATGCATCTTCATGCCCTTACTGAACAGAACAGAGACTACTTGATTTAAATTATACCGTACTTAAATTCGTGATTATAAAATTATATTTGTGTAAATATTGAACTCAACAGGTTTATAAATCAACTTTAAAATGCGTAAATAATTAAAATAATGTGTAGCTCTTAAAATAAAGGCACAAGAAATTCGAGTTACAGGCCTATTTCAACCGGGATTGGTTTCAGTGGGTTTGGAGAAGAGATAAATAGTAGGCCTATAAGATCACGAATCATATCAACATATGATATTGTAATATGATCGCCTGCAGTAAATTGGATCAATATTTCAATATGTATGTCAGATATTAAATAAATAGTTACTCCTTCAATTTGATAATGATTCCTTGAAAACTACAACCTGTTCGTGTTAATTGTCTTAGAATACTGATATGTTGCTATAGCAACTTTGAAATTAGCAAATTGAAGAATATGCATTGTTGTGTACTGCATACCTGGCAGTCCTCTAAAGTGTAATTAACCGGACAAGTCACTGGAGGCAGTGAGGATGCGTACGTTAACCCCAATACACACTGCAGGCTAATGTATTAAGTGGAATTCCGCATCATTTAGATTAAATATGTAATAACAGCAATATTTTGGTAGGCCTATGAATAATTTGAAGAGGTTTAATTAGGATGTTTACATGAATAGAGCTCACGTACCTATGTAGGAGGGTACAGCGTCTCAAAGCCAAAAATATAGCAGGAAGTTAGGATATAGAATGCATATGCCTTAAGAGCAAGATCTTGGGTTTAATTGCAGTGGCGGATCTAGGATTTAGCAATGGGGAGGGGGTGGATAATGCGAGGCGAGTAGGGGTGACGTGGTTTGGAAAGGGCGCAGATGTGTTTTGAAACCTCAGGGCCACCATAGTTGGGCCTGAAGTGAGAAAATTTAGGAAATACTATCTCTAAATTGGTGGAAATTCATCATCATCACATCACCATAGTCAAATGCAGATTCAATATTATTTCTCCAACCTTCATATAGGCCTTTTACACCAGCTGAGACCTTTTAGAGTACGCTCTAATTTACTTCAATCCGACAGGGTGTGTATCTAATGTAAATAGTTGAAGACTTGTATAGTACATAGGCCTAATCACCTGGCAGGGGCGGATCTAGGAGGCGGTCCGGCCCCGCCCCCTCCCCCACCCCCTTTGGAAGGTAAAAAAGAAAAGAAAGAAAGAACGAAAAAGAACAAATTGATCGCCCAAAACGCCTCAAAAGTTATTTTCGGGCGTCTAGAACACAAAAAAAAAAAAAAAAAAAAAAAAAAAAAAATCCTGCCAAAAAAAAAATCTCTGGCCATACCCCCAGACTACATAGGTTGGTATTATCTCGATCGGCCCACTTTCTGCTCGGCATTTTTGACATCTCCGCCCCTGCCTTGTCTGACATTTCACACTAATATTTCAAAAATTTTAACACGAATTTTATTGTTTTTAGAGTACCATATATGCATTTGCAAAATAAAGTTGAATTGAATACTTGGATTGGATTGGATTGGATTTTCTTCGGTGTGATACTGCTCGACTACTTACGTTAGCCCTCAGGGTTATTATATTACCATTTAAACAAATTCTATAATTATTACCATTGTTCAACTTTAAGATAAAAATGAAGACCTTACAAGAAACAATATAGTTACATAATATAACATATATAAACGAAAAGATTATAATACACACACGTGTGTGTGTGTATGTGTGTGGGTGGGTGTGTGTGGGTGGGTGGGTAGGATATGTGTGTGTGAGGAGATGTGGGTGTGTGGGGGAATGTGGGTGTGTGTGATATTCGAAAAAGCTACAGATGATTTTTATTTATAGAAAAACAACTGAATCTGAATGCCTGCCCACCATTAACGCAGTTTGAATATACTGCAGTATTATGAGTTTTATCAATAATGATGATAATGCAGATAATGGTGGTGATGATGATGACGATTATCATTAATATGTTATTGGTGATGATGTTGACGACGGCGACAACGAAGATGGTCACATGCTGTTGATGATTGTGACGAAGATGATGATTATAATGATGATTGATGATAATGTGGTAAGTATATATTGCATTTTAAAAATGCATGCTAGGGCTTGTTTCTAAATAGACAATGAACAGCAATAATATGGTAGAACAGCTTCAAGCAAACTATTTCAAGCAGAACTTTTCAATAGCGTTTTTCGAATGTCAATTCTATGAGGCGCCAAATGTACTTTCATTAGTTAACATAATTCATTATTTACATACATATAATTAGTTTTGCTTTCATCAATTATTATACACAAATAATTAGTTGGGCGATTTTCCTTATTTATAAATAATACGATGTTAGAACAATCAATTATATATAATGACTATGCGTAAAATTAATTTATAATGACTTTTAGTACTTCAATTATTTATATATGTATGTGTATTATGTATATCAATTTATTACTGTGTATTTTTGTTATGTCATTAACATTTAATTACTCTGTTAAAACCAATGGAGGTGCTGATGGGGACGTGAAGGTGAGGTGGGGGGGGGGGAGATCGATGAGGGGCCCTAATTATGGTGATTTTTAACTACTTCTCCGTGATTTTTTTTTTGGTGGTATGCGCCCCCGCGTGCCCCCCACCCCCAGATACGCATCTGTTAACAGCGTACGGTTGTCCTTTGGCGTGTATCACTAATGGTCCAGTCGCATTGACGGATCTGGGGATCAGGGGGTCTGATCTCCCCTTGGGCAAAAACTAATTTAAAAAAAAATCCAGACCTAACTTTTCAGGACCTAGAGCTGAAAGTTTTTTTGTTTTTTTTGTTACAATGGGAAAATTAGAAGTCGGAAAAGCTCATTTCCCGCCATCTAGGAATCAAAATTTTCCAGGGGGACAGTCCTCGACCTTTCTTCTTGGAGTTCATCGACTCAAGGACAAAAGAATATGTATGCAATATACTCACATTTTTTCTGTATGTATACCAGTAGGCCTACATAGGTCAATTTACAGTAAAGAGAAAAATTTACCTTGACCGTTTTCAAAAGGTGAAAACATGGAATTTTGAAGAACTTAAAATAGTCATTAAAAGACACTTCAGAAGTCGGGAAAGCTCATTTCCCGCCATCTAAAGGCCAACCGGACCGCCTTTCTCTTTGGGGTTCATCGGTTCATGGAATCATTTTCAAGAGAGGGAAAACCTTAATTTTGAAGTACTTAAAAGTCATTAAAAGACACCTCAGAAGTCGAGAAAGCTCATTTCCCGCCACCTAAGAATCAAAATTTTCCCGGGGAGAACCCCCAACCCCAGTTCTCTTTGTGGTTCCATCGATTCGTGGAATAAAGAATACGTATGCGACTACTTAAACTTGTTATGTATTATACAAACATAATAGGCATATTTACTGTAATAAGAATGAGAAAGTTAATCAGACCGTTTTCAAGAGGGGAAAACCTTAAATTTTGAAGAATGTAAAGTCACTAAAAGATACCTAAGAAGTCGTGAAAGCTCATTTCCCACTATCTAGGAATCAACATTTTCCCGGGAGAGGACCCCCGACCCCATTTCTCTTTGAAGTTTATCGACTCATGGAAAAGATCAATTATTTTTTTTAAATGGAGAAGAAAAGAATATTCCAATTTAAGTCTGAGAGTGCCATTTCTGGCCACCTAGAGGGGCCATAATAAAAATCATTGTCTCCCGGTGTACTGCCCAATTCACCACCAGCCATCTAGAGGGGCCATAATCATAACGTGGACATGGGACATTTTGCACATGGAACCAACGGCTTAATCGTCTCATCGGAGAAACCGCGCGCTTTTTGACACTTGCATTTCAGATCTCCAGCTGATACATAAGGAAAGCAGTGATTGAACCACAGACCAAGAGATCTCCATGGTGCAGCGCACACACAGTGGCTACCATCAGTTTAGCCGATGTGCTTTTAACAAAATTTCAACAGAAATACAGTAAAAGAAACTGAATACTGTATATGCTTGTACACCCACATACACATACATGCTTGTACACACCCACATACACATACGTACGTGTATATATATGTGCTTGTGACAATGCATATTTCTGTAGCAGAAGCAGTATCCAGTCAAGACCGAACACTACAGATGACTTCAAACTGAATCTACTATGTATTGGTGGACCTCTTTATTAAAAATAATATATATATATAGTTAGCGAAGCAAGAACACACATAGGCCTATGTTATGACATAGTTTTCAACCCACTTTTAAAAAAACATTTTTTCAAATAATTAAACTGTTCCTCCAGTGCAGGTGGCAAATAGTCTGTTGCCATGTGTAGAAAAAGCAAAATTTCGGGTAGATTATTAGAAATTACGTTTAAACTACTCTAAAACTCACTATTAATTAAGAAAAACGTGGGTGCCAGTTTTTTCATTTACATTTTGGGCCTATA